TTGATTTACATTATCATGATCTATATTTCCCTAAGAATTAATTGAACTCCGTTACATTTGTGTATGTTCGCAAGGTTCATTCATCAGGGATGTTGAGTACAATATCAAAGCATCTGTATTAATATGTCTGTGTCATGACACTCAAAACATCGCTGTTTATGAATTGTAAACAACGTACTTGATAAAACTATGATCAGTACTTGTAAACGTCAGTGGACTATCATTTTTCGAAACTATAATTTAAACCATGTTTGATTTAATTGTTTGGCCCACTACTTTTTGTGCAATTAGTAATTTGGTAAATACTTATTGTTTCGAGTGCGAGGCGATAGAACCGTGATTTTTTTCAATCGTTCTGTATTTTATCTCCATGGGTTAATTATTATGTAGGAACAATAATTATCTTTGACTGGAGTGGATTTAATTAGGAGAAGGTAGCACCGAATGACATCCGTTCAAGTAAAATCTACGAGAGTCACATAATTGGTAAATTACATTGTTTGTGCCTTAAAAAGTCACACCAACCCGAGTTTGATAATTATATTAATAACCCAAACCTAACAAAACCAATGTGCGTTAAAAAAACTTAAGAACACAGATGTTTTCCAGATTTTACCACTAGAATATAACGAAATGAGTAGGATTAATTAAAAGTTTTAAATTTTTTCTTTTTTAGCTACTATTTTGCATATATTAGATTTACACCCGTTTCAGTTGTTTTAAAGATTAAACCGATTAGTTTAGATATTCCATTTATACATGTACATTTGAACTGATCTGTTGGAAATGTATGCACAAAAGTCTTCAGATACCTTTATGCTATGTATATAATATGAAAATATTTTAACATAACTGTAAATGAAATATTCAATTAGACCAACCTAAGTGCGCACAGAGTATCTATATATTGAAACTCTAAAGTGAATGGATATGTTAAATGATTCCTTCTTTGGTACTTAAGGGTCCGTCACACCATGACGTTCTGGTCAATGCTATCTGAACCTTTCGATCGTTCAATTTGTGAACGTTCACACATCTAACGTGTAATGAACATGCGTATAACGCAATACTAGCGTGTGTCTAACGCACGAGAAGCGTGAAACAGTGACCAAGTAAGATAAGCCTGAAACCCATAAACGTGTGTTAACGTGCCACTGGTGCGGGACGAACTAATTGTCAACGCCTGACGAGCGTGTGACTAACGCGTGAATAACGACAGAATAGCGTCTTATGGCGTGTGTAATTTTACGGATACAGAACGCTGGAAATTTCTAAGTGAATTCGGTTGTTCTGGTGAGTTTGTATAGTCAGCATTATGACACCAAGAAAAAAGATTGGGGTGATGGCTTATCATACTAGCTACATTTTGTATTTCCAAATCTTTGACGTCTTTATATTCATGATACAGTCCAACACTGTCGTCTTCGTCGGTGTCTTCTTCTCTGTGGATGAATGTCGGGGTCTTCTCTGAGAATGAATTCCCACGTATGTCAGCTAAGTTTAAGTTCAGTACATCTACTTAATGCTTGACTATAGCAAACATATATAGCCTGCTTAATGTTTCAGGATCTTCCATAGTAGGCATTCTCAACGATAGCCCAACCTTGCTTTTAACATATGTATAGACGTTCGTGAAACGGTCGAATGACGCTCAAATGACGCTTAATAGACGCCAAAAGTGCGTTCGTTTACCTTTAGTAACAGGTTTTGTGCGCTTGAAGACCGTTCAACGGTCGTTGACAGAGGTCGCCAGTGAGTCGCCAATAAGTCGCTCACTGCAAAGCAAACGATTAGTAACAACAAAGTAGCGATTGAGTAACGACAGACTAACGAACGTGTGCAACGCTCAGCGAAAGTCATGAACGTTCTTAAACGTTCTTCAGCGTTTAGAATTTAATCGTGGAAGAACGCTGGTTTGAGTGAGAATTTTGTGCTTTTTCAAAACATTTTCCGGACCAGCGTTCTACGCCGATTCCCGGCGGCTACTGACGTTCACTGGCGTTCACACAACGTTTTTCTGGTGCTTTCCGAGCAACCATTGGCGACTATAAATGGTTTCTCAAACGTCATAGAATGCTGACCAGAACGTCATGGTGTGACGGCCCTATTAGTTATAATATGAGATTTTTCACACAAATATTTTTAAGTGAAATAGCATGCACTGTACATCGTTGTCTAAGCTTGAATAAGCAAACCAACAAAACGTTAATTTTAAAATTCCACTGTTATCTGAATATAACATAATGCAATATTTGTAAGCTATCTTTTCTGCTCGCTCCGGTGAAAAAACTTTTAGATACATTGTTATTGCCTATTAGCTATAAAAAATATGTATATATTGTTTTTGCCTATTAGCTATAAAAAAAACTTATGGGTATATTGTTATTGCCTATAAGCTATAAAAAAAATTATGGATATATTGTTATTGCCGATTAGCTATAAAAACATATAGATATATTGTTATTGCCTATTAGCTATAAAAAAAGTTATGAATATATTGTTATTGCCTATTAGCTGTAAAAAAAACTTATGGATATATTGTTATTGCCTATTAGCTATAAAAAAATTATGGATATATTGTTATTGCCTATTAGCTATAAAAAAAAATATAGATATTTTGATATTGCCTATTAGCTATAAAAAAAGTTATGAATTTATTGTTATTGCCTATTAGCTGTAAAAAAACTTATGGATATATTGTTATTGCCTATTAGCTATAAAAAAACTTAAGCATATATTTTTATTGCCTATTAGCTATAAAAACTTATGGGTATATTGTTATTGCCTATTAGCTATACCATAGCCATACTGTAGTACTAGGGATTTTAATATACCGGGACGTAGTTTATTTCTGATTATTAAGTAAATAATGAAACTAGAAACAGTGTTGAAGAACAACACTGACTTTGAAAATGATGCTCGTGGTTAATGGCAAATATATCTTCCATCTTTAAAACAGCATTATACGATTACTTGAAAGTGAATCAGAGGTTTTAAAGCCTTAGCAATTAGTAAAATGCGCTGTTGAAGTGATGTATATGATTAACAAGCATGAATAAGATAAATGACCCGAAGTACTGGCGGAGGAATAATTAAGATAGATCTCAGTAGACTTTAGTATCCCGTATATTATTCCTGCAAATAAAAACATGAATAAGCAAATATTACTTTTTTCTACAATTTAAAACACAAATTGTTGAAAAATCGATGCGTAAATGTAAGCTGTTGTCTTGTCTGTTTGTTGTTTCATGACGCAATGATATCCATACCTCTGGAATCAAAATTGGTTTCGCCCCGTGGTTAAGTATATTCAGAAAAGACCAAACAAAAGTTTATATAGACAATAAAGGCTATCACATTTAGCCTTCGTTCATGAAACCTCGATGCATAAAGCATAGGCATTTGGCATGTAGCGTTGCATAGTGAACCTCCCAAAATGTTTATGAATTAAAACATTGGGGTAAAAAAATGGGTAAAAATTGCCACATCTTGTGTCACTTAATATAAATTAATTGATATAGTAAAGATGTCTTACTTAACAACAATTCCAAAAAAATTAATGTTTGGGATGAAGCATCACCTTGTGACCCACTTCAAAGGTTGCTCCTGTTAATAAAATTGGTCCCACTGTGGAGGTAACTTAGTTTATATACAGTACACTTGTATAGGATTTTAGTCTTTTTGTAACATTCTCTTAGGACCTCTGCACAAGTTATATATATCATACCTCTGGGGACAAACATGGTCCCATCCTATGCTTACATAGACTTATATAAAATTATGACATAAGACTTATATACTTTACATGTCTTCTGCTATGAAATTAAATGGCCGGAGTTTAGATATTAATTATGCTCATAGGGTTAATATTTACTCTACCATGGGTGTTTATAATTTTACATTATATGTTATTTTGGTTTTGGAGTGATATATGAGGATATATTACCTGTCAAGATTTTATATCACCAGAGCCGTTAGGCGAGGTAATATTTTATTACCCTTCCCCTGCCGAGTTAAGACGATTTTGATATAAATCATTACTACTTCAAATGAAACGTCGAAATAAGATTCCCTTTAGGGTACCCCTTCACCACAACATGACGTCACATAAATACATGACGTATTTTCTTTCGAACCTAACGAATGTAAACAAGAGAAAAGGAGTAGTCTGTTGAACGCACTTTTTTGGAATTAATATCAAGCTTTCACAAGGTCATATTTGTTTTCAATACTGATGAGAATATGTATCATTACTCTATTTTGGTAAATATTTATCATTTGACAGTTAAAAAGTGCTTGTAAATCGGAATTTACATCGCGGAAAATCAAACCGTACGCGCATCGCCACGGCGCATGTTGTTTACACCGTGGGGTATCCAACGGGGAAATTTAGTGTGTATATTACCCGTCTGGCTCGGTATATCAATTTCTTTCGGGTGACCAATATCCAATCAAAAAGGAGGAAAAAAATCTGGAAGGGTAAATAAAAGCTTATACATATGTTAAACAATTTTGTCTTCTAGTGTGAAAAACTTAAATATTTCACTTGTAGCATTTCATAGCGGAGATGATGTATACATATTCTATATATTATGCGGCGTTGGTAAAAACTGACACGTCCAAAATAAACATATTTCTTGCTTCTGCATTAAAAATTGTAACTTGTTCTAGTAATGTATCTCAGATAAGCAATTCAATGTCATCATCGCTTTTTGTTTATTTTTTTTTATTTGACAATTACAAACGATACTATTCTAACATATTAGATAACGAATCTTTCATAGCTGAGGTGTGTTTATTAACTCGTGCTACGTTACATAAAATAAAGGTAAGTATAGTAAAATAAATATAATGATATTAAGGAGATAACTAATGTCTAATGATATCTATCTATTTCTTCTGCATCAAATTTTAACAATCAATAGGACGTTTTAATTTTTTGCGTTTGATAAAAATCTTATTCAGTTATAAAATATTTTTAAAACAACGGCATTCTTTACATATGTTTTATAATATCAACAGCATGGAAAGGTTAGTCATTTTCTATTCTAAAACGTTTCATCTTACTCGTTAAAATTCACCTAAACCATAGTATATAGTTTTGCATAATTTTGTATGTACTTAAGTGTTTTTCCGTATAGAGCACGCATGCACGGGTTTTTCAGGCCGTCTGGTCCCATTTATCGCTACATTCAAATCAGTCAAGAACAGATAATAGTTAAAACAGATCGTAGACTACAGTTTCTCATATTTTTGTAATTTTTTGTTTGTAAGCTTTACTAAAAAATGTTTGAGTTTTTCCAGTGGATGGTCACAATCCAGCACATGAATGTAATTTTCAACAATTTGCTCGGTCGTAACAAATCAATTGTTACAGTAAAAGGTTTATATCAATTGCCATGTCGGCCTTTAACTTCTTGCTGCTTGACATTGAGTGTATCTAGGAAGTTAAAGAAATGATTCTCTGTAGACAATAGAAGCCTTTTCAGTGTATGCATTGCTAAAATGCTCACGTGTGTGTCCACCTCTATCTCTTTTTCGTAATTTTTCAGTGGAAGAATGAAACTTCGAGGAACGCCAAAGATGTTAGATACTTTGTCGACCAGTTTTTTTATGGTTTCACTCTGGTAGACCTTTGTTATATCTTCTTCGACATAGGAACAAACGTTGTCAATCTTTGTAAGTACAATAGCCTGGGGAAGCCCTAAAAAGATTTAAGTTTCTGTAAAAAAACCCAAAAAAAACAAACAAAAAACAAAAATAAATAACTAAATTGTGCAAACTTACTAAACTAAGAGTGCAAGTTATGGACAGCTGAAGGTCTAAAGCGGCGGATGCCTTTTGATTTAATTTTCTTTTCAAGCACATGCATCCGGTAGCTTATTTACAAATCCCTTTATAAATGTGAAATCTTACACAATACTGCTGACCAAAATAATTTGACTGTACAGTAGGGTTGCTTTTTATTTAAATGTTGACAGCAATATGTTTGTAAAAGTAATTGAGAATTGATTTTCGCGTGAATAACATTTTTGTTTAAATTAATTCTTTGTGATACTCATATGCAATAAAACAACAACAACAAAAACAAACAAACAAACACAAACGAAATACCTTTCTGCCTAACTTTTGCCTGCATGCTTTTAACTTTCTCAAGCAATTTCTCTGACAAAATGGTTACTGTGATTCCATCAAACACAAAACAAACACAATGAATTTTCTGTCCAAGTGTTGGAAACTTGACAAAACCATGGATTTCATTAGATACTGGTGTCGTTGGATTAAACTGAAACATATAAGTATACAATATGATTGTCAAATTGAGATACGTCTATTTGCCTCATGATATGTTTCATATTCAATAGCGAATTTTCATTTGATTTCTTATGATACATTGCTATTATGAATGGAATGAGATATTGCTTAAATATATGCAAGGACAATAATGATAAATAATGGTGTGTCAATCCGACAATAGATTAAGCTGAAGTTTTCTACAGAGCTGATACCTGATATCCATCTGGAACGTGACCATCCAATAAGTATCCCAGCTCTTGAGCATCTATTCCATGGCTTTCCTCCAAACCCATTGTGTCGCAGAGGCAAAATTTCAGTGGCTTTTGCTTTTGAGAACCTCTGACACGATACATTCGATACTGCAATATGACAACGTATTTAGCATCACTATTTTTATTAGTATATGACGGTGTAAAATGGGTTGTCAGGCTATTGATTTGAGATAGACAAATAAAAGAGGAAAGACAACCAAAATATAAATAACTAAGTCAGTCATGGATGGATAATATGTATGTCGTGAATAAAAACAAAGGACGTTTGCATATTTCGTTTCACATATTCTGTATTTCTATTGACGATTCAGTTAAGGTATAAATGTTAGAACAACTGTGCTGTTAAATAGTTTGCTTCCTATTCAAAACAGAAATCTATTTGAAGTCCATGTTTCTCCCAGAAAAATATAGAGTGGTTTAATACTTTATGTTTACCTTTGACGTAATACTTTTCTCTGCACTTCCACAAACAGCTTGGTCTGAGATATGGCCACGGAATACAGACGCTACAGTATTGAAGAAGCTTGATTTACCAGCGCCCACTGGCCCTATCACTAATATGTTAGCCGTTTCAATGTCAAGGCCATGTAGAGGCGTATATGATTCCGCATATCTCTTCAGTAACATCAAATCCTACGAAAGAAAATGTTTCATACTTTGCAAAAAAAATCGACGATCAAAAATTGCAAATATAATAAAGAATATAGAAAGATAACCGCTAAAAGCACGTAAGGGTGAACTTCAAATTTTATACACTCACCTCCGATTCCCACCCAGTCGATGCTCTCCAAACACTTACTAATGGTGACTCTAAAATATAAGAATATACAAATTGAATTTAAAATGGCATGTATAGACAACTTCAAAAACCTGACAACATGGACATTTTTGTGTTTTGCTATGTCTATTTCTTCAATATTTTGAAATATTCATACTACTTATGACGCACACAATTTATTTCAAATACGAATGCTTAGTATAGGAGTACTCAATGCAAACTAGTCTATATAAGATTCATTTCATTTTTATATTAATTGATTGTGATATTGATGTTCTTTATATAAAATAAAATAAATAAAATGAAGTATGTGATGAAATACCTGATAAGCTATACACTTCAACGTCAAATACAGTGTTGACATTATCCGTTACTTTGTCGACTGCAACTCCACCCATGTCATAGGTGGTTCCCATTTTCATGACTCCGTTTAGACTGAACTGATTTCCTTGAGCGGTAAGGGTGTCGCTGAATACATCTAAATCATGCCCTGATCCAAATACTGGGCCATGAGTGTCAATGCAGTAAAAAGCCTGATCTGATGCATTTACAGGGAACTTATTCAAAGCAACTTTGCCATTTGACTCTAAGCGGAACAAAAATGCCCTATCACTTTTTACGTAGGCTCCAGTGCTGTCCGAGGTCCAACTTTTCTCAACGTATCCCCCAAATATAGAATCCTTCGTGTTGTAAACGACAGTAACAGTTGGGCCTTTGTTGTCACACTTTTGATGAAAAGTTGTAGCATTAGCCCCGTCACGAGTGAAGCTATACAATAGATGAAAATCTTTAGCACCACTGCCAATAAATCTAATTATCGAAGTTTTGTGTTTCAAGTTGAGTTTTCCATCCATTGTCTACAAGATAATGATTAAAGCCAATCAAACAATATAACAATATAATGACCAATTTTTATTATCATGGTGAATCATTTTTCATTTGTAGTTGTATTAATTTGTCGATTCAACTGAGAAATCTTATGACATTCTTAAATTGTATTTTACAGATATATATTGTGACAGGAGGAAAAGAATAATAATAGTAATTATATAAATAATAAGAATAATAAAAAATAAAAACAACAAATCATCAATATACTAAATTCTTACCTCTCAGATAAATGTAGAACCTCCGCAAAAGATCGAAAAACACTAAAATCTTACTTCCCAATAAAACTTCAGCAAAAGATCGTGTAACCCCCGATCGAAACTGAAAATACTGCTTGATACCAAGAATTGAGTCACTAAGTATAGATAACACATTAAAGGCTCGTCTTCAGAGAAAATTATTATCTTAAAGTTAACAAATATCTGTATATTTAGGCAATATTTTAACTAATTCAACAGTCATTGATAAGCATTATCACGAACAAATGATGGGGATTTTTTATAATATTATATCGTTTTGGTTACATATCAAATAAGATAGTTATAATGTATAAGATAGAGTCTCAGGGATATAGTTGACTTTAGTAGCATTGGATAACATTTGTAGCATGCACACTATGACTGGTATTGCTGAATACCAAACTGAAAATATGAACTTTATTACTGTGTCTTTTTCCTATTCACATCACACAGAGAATATAGCAATTGTATGTTCTTTCCTACTTAACAACCCAATGCATGAAATATACCATGTATATCGTGAAATAGTGACTGATCCAAATTTATTTGACGCCCTACTTTTTGTACAGATATGCTGTGTGCTTTGGCGAATATATTTTTGTTCAAGTGCAGGGCAATACTGTATGTACATATTTTAGGATGTACACACTTGTATCTTATCTAAAAAAAATAGGTGAATATGACGCTTTTGTCAAAACGTTTCTCAAGATGACCACAGGAATGTAATCTCAAATATCTAAAACATGTTTCAAGTTACATACTTTTTTAGCAAATATTTTGTATATTGTATATTTGCAAGCGTTGCGAGTATTTAAAAAAAATATAAATACCCTTTTAGCGACAGGCTACGAGACGACAGTGCGACAATGAGCCGTCTGGCGTTTTGTCGTGCTGTCGCTAGCGACGACACAACACACAAAAGTGTGCCAAATCAGACACCATGATAGTATTGCCATAAAACACAATTAAAGTACAGAGTACAACTAAGTAAAAACATTTGCGATACAACTTTATTCTTTGGTTTTATATAATAATAATAAATAATAATAGTAATAATAAAAATAATAATAATGATGATGATAATAATGATAATAAATAAATAAATAAATAAATAAATCAAAATCAATAATAAATAAATAAATAAATAAATAAATAAATAAATAAATAAATAAATAAATAATGATAATAAAATAATAATAATAACAAATAAATAAATAAAGTAAACAAAATGATAATCCGTTTATTATATAGATAGATTCTTTTATTCCTCCAAATTTGAAGAGTACAACATATATACATGCAGAAAATACAAGTATAAAGACATTGACATAGTATACAACGTACATAAATCACGTTCAAGTTTTTCTAATAATGGTAAAAAATATATCAATATGTAATATTATGAGCATAAGCCATCAGGTGTTTGAATAACATAAAGCTCCTCTCCACACAAAAGGATGCATATAACTCGTTGTTAAAGTTTAAGGATAGAATAATAAAATGTGTTCAACAAATGTATTTAACAATAAATTTTCAATGGTAACAGAGCTTTGGGTTAGATATTTAGCAGTCATTTATTATCAAAATTGAAACCAATATGCTTTAATTTATTTAAGAATTGGAGAGACAATTTTGGAAAATTGTAGTATCTTTTTTAGTATACAAGTTTAGTAAAAATGCACAATATAACGATATAAACATTGTCATATAAAAGTCATTATGACTTCACTCAAGAGAATTGAACACTATATAGAAATATTACGAATACTGCTACTATTATTGCATTTTGACTTTGAATAACTGTTACGATTTTTTTCATATAGGTTCGTGTACTTCTTTTAAAATACAACATTATGTCTTATATAGATTCAATATCTTAAAGCCGTAAACGAAATTACTTTAAGGACTTGGTCTATGTTAGGCACATTTTATGCTATCGGGTCTGCCAAAACGATAGCCTATGCTGGTCGAATCTAAAAAAAATATGGGCTTCTGAAATGACATTAGGTATTTGACACTTTGATACAAATGCTAATACAATATTGTTTGTCTTAAATCGTGTACAAGTAACCGTAGTAGCGTTAAATGCCAACAAATAAGTTCATAAATATACATTACACAGTTCCAAATTATAGCATAGAAAATCGGGTAAATGTATTTCTAAACATGTTATGGAGCATTTTCAAGAGCGTGTACTGACGGCAAGTTTCTTGATTAAACGCCAACGCTATATAAGCTGACCCGTCTGTCTTTCTCGAGCACACATTATCCATTCTGCATACGCATTAATCCCCATAGTTTCAAACATGTAGGACCAAAGTGATTGTCGAATATCTGTCATTTTACTACAAAAGTTTAGAACATGATCCACGATATTAAAGCACGTGGCGTTGCACAGAGAACAACTTTGAATGTATTGTCTAGAGAACAAGTTTCCGACGACCGATACAAGGGACATAATCCATAGCCGCACATCTTTTGAATATATTTCACGAGAGAAAAGTGCACATAGATTGTTGACCTTTGGGAGGAACTCTGGAGCTGATGGTCGAAGTTCCAAAAGGGCGTTAAGTCTTTCATATTTAGCAGGCATTGCTACACATCTTTGTATCACATTTTTCAACTGACAGTTAGATGGAAATATTCCGGTTGAAGTGTTTGTTTGTAACACATGTAATAGGTTGTATTTCATTAGAATTCTGTAGACATCTGGAATAAACCCCATTATTTGTGCGTCGCAGTTCAGATATCTAGTAAGACGATTCAAGAAGACAGTCTTAGCCATATATTGAGTCGGTAGTCGACAGAGCTGGCCACAGAATGTTAATTTTCTACTGTCTATTATAGTTTCACATGAGTCCATATCTATTGTAGCTAGACTGTAGTTCGTGTTTGTGTTTCCTTTGAGTCCCAATATTGACTTAATGCAGAATCTATGCGAACGCTCAAGTAAGTTCATATCAGTTTTGGAATAACTATTTTGTAATTCACAGCCATACATAGCCTTTGGTATAACTACCGATGCATATATAGTTCTGTATGTCAAGGATTAAGACCTTCCGGTTGTAGACCACTGATCCCGATGCTACGGTAGGTTCCTCTGAGTTTTGAACAAGCTTCTTGTATGAATTCCTTTGAAGATAACAAAATTCACAAGTAATTCCAAGGTGTGTATATTCGTCAACTTCACTCACGTACTGTCCACACTCTTTCTACTGGGTGTTTGTTACGGTTGTTAAACACAATGACGCCGGCTTTTCTGAATTGTAATCGTAGCGCCACTTACGTGCATATTCGCTGCATATAGTTAACATATGTTCAAGTCCTCGTTTCGAAAAAGCTACAAGTATCATGATGTCTGCTACAGTCGGTGCACAAATGTTCATATTGTACATACAAAAACCAGCTTGACAAGACTCAAGCTCTTTGATTAGTCCATTTATGAAGCACAAATATAATAACGGCGAGCTTTTGCTGCCTTGACGTGTGCCTTGGCGAAATGAAATCGGATTGGATACGTAACCTTTATTTCTGACGGTACTTGAAATTTCCCTGCTGATCTCTGTATACATCTCAGTTAAACTTGATTCCTGCACCTGCACTAGAATTAATATTTTTTCGCCGCAAGTTCACCATTTTCCAGAAAAATTTAGAATCTACTTCAGCTGCTTGGTCAATTTCGCTATCCTGTTTCGACATAAATAGTATCAAAACCTTTCATGAAAAAGTCGTATTGAAAACAATCTTCTTTTGTTTTTGTTTCATACAAGCTACTCAACGATGCACTTGTGTTGTCTGTGCCGTCACCTAGGGAGCATAAAGCTATTCACAACAAGCACTTCCGGTAACGTAATATTAAAACATGGTTTACAAAAAGGGGTAAAGGCAGAATTTTGACTCGTCGGATTTTAATGACTTCGCTCGGATCTGTTTTTTTTCTTGGAACATATTTATTTTCCAAAGAACTAAAGCGTTTTAAAAAACGATTTTGCAAGATTTGAGAACAACCTGGTATCATTACTTTATGAACTTTGATAATATATCCGCATTTTTCTATTCATATTTTTATCAGTACATTTTATTGAATGGAATTCACCATTTTACACGACAAATGCAGTTGCATTTCAAATAATATTAAATTAAAAAAAAGAAAAGAAAAAAAAACATGATTTAGAAATTTAGATCAAAATAAAATATTATCATAAAAAGAAATTTTTATCTCCGTGTCAAATAACAAAAAGGGTAAATACCTCTAGAACAAACAAATGTTGGTATCGAATAAATAACGAAATTAAGTTTTTGTTTATTTCATTTTTTTTCCAAGTTGTTTGATTTAATGATAACAAGTATTGCTCAGTTCCAATGAGAAAGTGTTGCTGTTTATTTATCATCATTGCTAAAGAGAACATATTTAATAATAAAGAAAACAATCAATCATTTTGTTAAATTCATTTTAAATATTGATTCATTTTGCTAATTACACATAATGCCCAACGTCCAATTCCAGCCTTTATATTTGAAAATGTAACGCATATTAAACAGTTACATGCAAAAATCTTTACATCTTGTGTTGTTGTCTCCTAAAACTGCAGGTAATGTTTTAAAATGAGATAAGTGCCATTTCGTTTCGTCGCCAATATGTCCCATAAAGAATTCCGTACAATTATGAGGAACATCGGGCATGATGAATCACAACATTATATTATGTCCTAGGATGAGCTTATCTACATTTTCGGTTCACTATCGCTTATTTAGAGATAAATTATATGCATTGTATCTAAACTTTTATGTACATGTAGTAATGCAAACATTGCACACGTGTTTCATGGGAGACTTCACGACACCTTTTATCAAAACTCCGAAAGTCAGTGATTGTACAGGTATTTTTTTTAAATTATTGAGTAAACCACATACACTATACTTAAATTTCCGGATCCCAAACTGATGTCTTTGCAGCAAGCATCCCAACCAGGTTCTATACTGTCGATTCATAAAGCATTTTTCTTTAAAAGATCAATTCCCTTTTACTCTAAATGGAAATGTTTTTTTTTTAATTCTAAGCCGATCAAATCCATAAAACAAATTCCACAAATTAAGGTTAAGTCATTTTTCCAGTATGAAAAATTATTTACTTACTAAAAATATGTTTTACTGTGTTATACAGTAAAGACAGCGTTCGAACGTTTACTACAGTGACAGTGATACGACTAAACATTGCAAGGACGTGGTTAGATTACAATTACATAACGAACCTTCTCTTGACGAATACTCACCATATTGCGGTGTATCTTGGTCCATAGTTTTATGGATCACACACACCGGATATGCGCAGTGCATGTACTATAGTCAAATAATAGTTACCGCCCGAACCATGCCTCACCAAGTTTACACATTCTGTTTTGTTTTGTGTTTGGTTTTCATAAATAAGAAACCCAAAACTATATTTAAAAGTATTTTATTTTAATATAGGACTCTTTAAATTGAATAAATACACAGTAATATAGAATAATATCAAGCATTTAATAATGATTATAGTAGATGTAAAAGAATATGTACATAGTTAATTACAATACTTATACTCTAGTCTACATAGCTTTTCTATATACATAGAGGAGTACATAAACAATAGATAAAAACTCTAAATATTAAACAGCAATTATGACCTAAATAGGTGAATAAGAATAACTCGTGACAAGTCACAAAATATAAATAGTCAAAAGGTTTTACAGCAAACAACCGTTTATATTACAGCAATATAACCTGTCAAAAGTCGTGCTGTTGTCTTCGATAACAAAAATGCCCAAAATGCCTCATTACATGTTAGCTTTTTACAATGAAATCCCTCAAGAAAACAATGGGACAGTCTCGAATATTTAATTTAGACTAGTTCATTTCATAAAAAAGCAATATAAAGGTAAAGTACCATCATTTCACGCGAAAGTATGTAAAGGGAGATAATGCAGATAATAATTTTAATACAAATAAACATTTATTATTTTTCGTCTTCTTTGCAAGTTCTACAAAATTCGTGAACAGCTTATAAATATAATATTATTCAACGTCTCATCGACCGGGTTTTATGTTATATTTAGAATTTCAGAAACGTTTTATAGACAATGTTTTTTTTTGAATGTCTGCCATAATCATACATAGACAAAAATGCATGTCTCAACATTGCTTTTGAATATATAACTTTCACATCTCAACACCGTTTTAAAACATTTCCCTGCCCCGACCCCTACCCCCCCCCCCCCAATTAAAAACAAAAACAACTCTATACAGTTAATAATCAAAATCAACAAAAAATCTTGTTTTCTGGGTAATTTGTTATTAACGTGTTTTCGCAAAAACGTTCTATTTTTTCACTCATGGTAAGGTGATATATGTCCTTGTTACAATTAGTTATACATTTTCTGTCAATAAAACTATATCATGTTTCAACAAATTCAAATATTTGATTCAGCAACGAGATCCAGGGTAGAATAACGTGGAGGTGGAGTCATTCTTGCAGGATAAACTGTTGATCTTGATGATGAAAGAGAATTGGCAGACGACATTTTCCTTCTTTTAGGACCAGCGTTCTTTCTGCATCTTGGACGGACAGCGTAATGGAACAAGGCACAACAGCCAATACCGATAAGCAGGCCAACTGGGTAACCGATAACGCCTACAAATAAAATGGCATTAAATTTTAATATGAAAAACAACACATTAAGTTTAGACGTGAAGGGCATTTTAAAATGAATTCCGGTGACAGGAAAATATGTTTCATTGTATAATCTTAACATCACAATTTTCGGTTATAAATCGAGTATTGAACATACTATTAAAGAAAAGTAAGCATAGTTTGTACTAAGAATACAATTTTTAAAACAACAATAACAAAACAATAATAAATAAAAAAAACGATATACAAATTCTTCTATTTTTAACAATAATGATCATACATATGTACACAAGCTTACCTGATCTCAAATCACGTTCATAAGTCTCGTCATTAACGGGATCTGGTATAGGAACACGAACATGTTCGCCATTTACGTGACACGTGCAGTAAGATTTGTCGCCATTACACATCTGTAACAAAAAGAAAAATGAAATCTATCTTTTACCATTTTGAAACCTTTAAGTTACTTCCACTGAACTTATAAGTAAAATTCTGTGATTTGTGTTGTTGTTCTTTTTAAAAAAAAACTTCTTCGTTGACAGAAAGACAATGTAAAGTTCATTTAGTATTTTTACCGCATCTTTTGATACAATTTGGATACAAGCGGACGCAAAGGGAGGCCACCGAGACTTAATGGTAAGCGTATTGCATTGCTTGTTCACATACACAAACAATCAAATGTAAGATTTAAATCCATACCGTTAAGTGGCATTCAATTACAAGATAGCAACTAAAATTTATTTGCCATTGAGGTCCATTTGTGTGTATATATATATCGTTTGGTTGTGTTTTTTTTACATCGCACCAAAACTAGTATAGGTCATATGCCGACTTTCCAGTTTTTCTGGTTGAGGAAGACTGTGCATTATTTTTGGGATAAACGGTCACCTGAGAAGAACAACTGATGTTCCGTATATTTTTGATAATACACATATCAGTTACATTCCTTAAGATTAGTGATTATTTCATTGATATTTCAAATGAACATTAAATTTTGATGAAGAATTTTTTTCTCATAGAAAATTAAATTACCTGCTCAATGGAAATTTCACAGTTAAGACCAATGACGTCATCGGGACAGTCGCATACATAATCATTTGTCAGTCTTCGGCATACGCCGCCATTTTGACATGGATTCGGATCACAGAAATCAATTTCTGAAAAATGCATAAAACTGGAATATAGTTATGTTTGATCCATCCTGAAATCAATTCTTTATACCAGATTTTAAACACCTTAATGTGTGTTATTCTTCGATCTACGATAAATGCACCAATTTGTTTCAATTCTTTAATTCGAGTATAGTTTGTTCCGCTGAAATTATAAAGGGATTCTATACAATAGCTTTTAAGGAAAGTATGGTGTCCTGGATACGTCACTTTTCCCCGTTTACTTAATAAAATAGAGAAAAAAAACTGAGGGAATAGCAGAGGGGGAAACAATGAAGAAGTATATATTGGTACCGTCTTCACAATGCTGTCCTGTATATTGCGGGGGACATTCACAGTTGAAGCCTCCAACCAGGTCAATACATTCGCCATCGTTCATGCACGGGTTACTCGTGCAATCGTCTTCATCTATAGGAAACAAAATTTAACAAATCAAAATACAAATTTGCACAGAGTCCACGAAGTTTGAATAATGTTACTCGTATTAATTGACATGCATATGAAGTTGATGAGGCGACTTCCTCACTTTCAAACATGTATGAAAATTGCATACTCTGTTTGTTTAAGTCTGTTCACTTAGAAATAATGTTCAACATCTTTCATGCCCCCTTACACCGGCTTAATTCAACCTGGCTGGCTGTTATAAAGGAATCCGATTGACCAGCCAAATATATCAATTATAATGAACTGAAGTACTGGACAACAGCCTGTCTCACGGCAATTAAAACATACTGCAGAATTTCAAACATTACGTGTATATTGTATATGAAAATTGCAGACTCGGTTTGATTGAGTCTGTTCATGAGAGATAATCTAAAAGTGCAACACTATCATTAAATAACAAGTATAAATAATTCACAATATAAAAGAAGATACAAAGTTTTGTCCTACCTATTTGACACGTTTTACCGCTGTATCCATGGTAACAGTCACACGAGAACGACGATAACGTCGTATTATGTACACAATCACCTTGACCTTGACATGGATACGATGAACAATAGTCTGAGTCTAAAATCGAATAAATGTTACAAAAGTTAGGATTTTTTTTAGAAATAAGTTTTATCTACTCGTAAACTTAGTCTATTATTTCCAGTTACTATGTTTCAACAAAAATCAACAACATGTTTTATATCTACGGACAGCGATATTTTGATACTACGTTAAATGTCAATCTGTTAAGGACGATTTAAATGCATGGGTTCCCGGGAAATCCAAAAAAAAAAGAAAGAGAAACAAGTAAGCTGGCAATCAGATCTACATGCACGAAATAACTTAAGTAGTTCTGAACAGTCAGACTGAAAATTGCATAATTTTATACCTGAACAATTCTTGCCAGCAAAACCAGGTCGACAGAAACACGTGTAATCACCAATTCTGTTGAAGCACTGTCCTCCATTTTCACAAGGCGCTTGTTTACATTCATCAATATCTAAGTCATTAAAATTTCTTTTAATAAAGAATGTCTTTCAAAAGCTGCTTTTTATAAAGAGTGAAATTAATCGAGTCTCTGAAAGCGATTTATTCAGTGAGCTTGTGATATTTTAAAGTAACTGAACGTCAAGAAAGATACTATTATTGTTTAATCTAAAAGCTTAAGACTGAAAAATACATGCTTATTATATTACATTGAAAACAAGTACTTTTCATTTCATGTTTGATCAAAAGACAAAACCAATTCACAAACTGACATCAGATACATGTAATCAGAATACGAGTACGTATATTTAAAAAAATGCAACGGAAATTAAGGTGGGATAAAAATAAATTTGTAGAAAAGAGTTCGCAGAAGCTACAGGATTGCAAAATATCCACTTTGACAGGTACTTTTTATATACATTGTAAATATTTACTATGATATAAACAAACAAATACTAGTAAACATAATTATACCGTGTTCACACAGCGTTCCATAAACTCCTTTCGGACAGGTGCAGGTGAAGTTCGTAAATGAAATGTCACATTGACCTCCATTTGTGCACGAGGTGCTCGAACATGGGTCAGGATCTACAAACAATCATTCAGTATTATATCCAAATTTATCTTTTGTCATTCCACTTATAAATATTGCATGTTCCCACTTAAAAAAGAACCAATAAAACCATTCGATGTGTATTTTAGCTTGAATTCGTTCAAATAAATTAGTTTTAAGTTTAAAGTGTTTATTATTACAAAATGTCTTCAAATTTAGAAATTGTACTTACAACCAGTTAAAAGTACAAAACACCTCTGCTCGGATTGCCTTCTGTAAATAAATAAAGAAACGATAAAACTATAATGTCATATCAAAATGTAAATATTTGCATATTTACCTTATTTAAAGATCATAAAGCCTACCTTTCTTTAAATGATTTAAAGGTATAAAGCTATATTTTACCCGTCAAAATGCCAGCTTATGGTTAAATATAATTTATAAAATCACATCAATTGTTTATATATTATAATACAACATACTAAAAATTTTACTCATTTTTTAATCATATTATGCAAGTGAGCATATCTGAATAAAACCAATCATGGAAGAATAATCTGAATCAAAAGATAGGAAAGGTGAACGTTCACTCTCTATGTATATGTTAGTGTTCATCCGTGCTGTTCTACTGAAATTAGAAACTTCGACGGGAGCGATAGCGACAGGAGATTGTTTCTAATTTCTGCAGAACAGCTTCGGATGAATACTAAGATACTAAGTGTCAAGCTTTATTTAGCCTCATAATCACTCGCTTTATTGCGTCACTATGCGGTTCTATGAACAACTATGAAAAATAAAAGTCGACTATGAACGGGATTCGATGAAGTATCGACTTTTGTTCTTCTATGAAAATTAACGCACAGATATTTTAAGAAATACAGCGTTTTCATTGGATGACAAATAAAGCTGGACACTAATCAAAATTTCGAAGCGATTTATTTATTTATTTTTCTAAATAATTACAGTCTCGATAGTATATCTCTAATTCTGTACACACACTTAAGTCAATCACTTCTTCTTTTTTGTAATACGCATATAAATAAAATAACTTACCCTGCATCATCCTCGGCAATAAAACACACCATGTTAATGCCATTCATAGTCGATGTGGGTGTCCAGCTTAAATCTGCATACATAACGGTAGGTCTTCCTAAATCGTCTGGCTGGAACGCTGAAACAGTCAATCCCTGTGGTCCCGATAATCTCATAGCAGACGGCATGCTACCGCTGAAATAATGTGTTACTGCGTTATCAAACAATTGTTTTAAAAAGTTCAAACAAAAAACCTAATCAACAAGTGCTGTGTTAGTGCGTGTACTGAATACATTATATACTCGGGATTCAATACTTCCATTGGCTGCTTATTCTTTTGCCTAACAAAATGCTTAATAGGTTGCAAGTTTGCAATTTAACGCACATTCTTTATAACATATTGATTAATGTATTTGTTTCATGAATTGTACGTTACTTAAAAGATACAGATGATTTACGTCATTTTTTTGGCAATGCTATGAAGGGGAATTGTAGTAAAATTAATGTTGTGATATTTTTTTTACTTAATTAATACAGAAATGGAAGAAACATAAAAAACTTATGTCAACGCAAAACCTATGACGTCTATATATTAACAATTGTCCCGTTTGTCTCTCAGCGACTTAATAAATAAATAAATAATTAAGACCGCCTCCGTGGTCGAGGGGTTAGAGTCGATGACTTCTAATCCAGTTACCTCTCTGGCGTGGGTTCGATCCCCGGGAGATGCTTTGGTAGTTTAGCGCGGAGGAAGGTAGTATAGTACTGGTGTAACTCTCCAGGAAAGATGGTTAGGAAACTACCCGCCTATATGACTGAAATACTGTTGGAAAAAGGCGTAAAATGAAACAAACAAACAAACAAAAATAAATAAATAAAAATAAAAAAATAAATAAATGAATATTTACCTTGTGGCCTGTACATAAACTCTTTGTAGCCAAGAAATAGCCGTTGGCACAATGAACTCCTGACCGTCTGATGGTGTTCCGGTAAATACCGGGCTACTGCTACAAGTTGTTGTTGCATTTTCCACAAACACCAAAAACTATTGATATGTAAAATAAATAATACTTATAATAATAACAAATGACGTATGTTATTTAGTTAATTTCTCGTTTTAATTTAAGCGAGATATGACCGTTTTGTGTCGACTCTTCGTAAAACAAATTTCATCTACTAATTCGTTCTTCGTTCGTTCGTCCGTCCGTGCGCCCACCCGCCCGCCCGCCCGTTCCGTTCCGTTCCGTTCATTCATTCATTTATTTATTCATTCATTTATTATTAATTAATTAATTAATTAATTAATTAATTAATTAATTCATTCATTCATTCATTCATTCATTCATTCATTCATTCATTCATTCATTCATTCATACATTTATCATTCATTCATTCATTTATTTATTTATATATTCATTTATTCATTCATTTAATAGACGTTTGATAAAATTAACATGATGATCAATATGATGAATTGTTAATTTTGAAGTTTAATGTTTACCGTAGATAACAAAAGCTGACACTAACGTTTTGATAATTTTGCTTTTTGCTTATGAAAACGTTAAACGTACATCTACTGTATAGACTAATGCATTTTTCTGTTCTTGTTTGCTAAAGGCATTATACAAGATTTATTTCAGCTTACCTGAAGTGGGATGGAACTTAAGGGTTGTGTGGTTGGCACAGACACATTGTCTAGAGATAATGAAGATTTTGGGAAGTCCTCTATGGTTAAAGCAATTAGATAGTACGATCCCGCCGTATATCCATTACCTGTTTTAGCATCTATTGTTAATGTACACGGTTGCTGAAAAATAATGATGAAAACAAAAATAAATACTAAGTATAAATGGTATTCAATGAGGAAACTTGCGCAAGTTTCAGATTATTAATGAAAAGCCATTTAATAAGCCTATATAACAATATTGAAAACCTTTTGTCAATTTAGTTGTAACGTATTTTAGAAATTCGATTCTTCTTTAATTTGATTTTGATCGTTTTACGTTTAATATACATGCATGTTGAAATTATCTACACGTACTTGTTTTAGGGTTCCGTTTGGCAGCGTTTTCGTGACATTGTCACACATATCACCACATTCACCGTTAGAAGCCCAACGACATTTTGTGACGTCACCATCAACGTCATGAATCGGAACAGATATTGTTGCAGAGCATCCATGTGCCAATCTGAAACAAATGATGATTTCCAATTATAGTAGAAATTTTCACTTTTTAAGCAGAATTGGTGAACCATTTTCAAAATATGTTTACTAGAGTATTAAATGCATATTTCCTTGCTTACGTATTATTTTAGTTGACAACTTACTTATAAATTGGCATGTATGAGGTTATCGGACTGTTGTTTGGGTTGCCCGTATCACTCCGCGTTCTGAGATCAACCTGCGTCTCTAATCTCCAGTTTCCGCCGAGCCCGTAACCAAGTGGCATCCAACTCCCTGCTTCATATCTAAAAAATAGAAATATAAGCAAATTTGACAAAATAAACAAAATATGACAAATGAAAAAAATATTATACCCCCTTCAAAAAACTTTGATTTATTTGCGTAAAAATATCTGTCAGGATACTTCAAGTACATGCGAGACACATTCAGTTTTGAAACATACATATATAACATATGTGAAATCATATCAAATTATTACATCAAAAATCAAATTTAAATGTATATTCCAGCATCAGCGTACATATTAGTGAAAGGTTAGATTTTACCTTAAGTCTAAAACTAATTTATTTATGAAATGTATCATTAAAATGATTCTGTCTATAGTTATATGGTTATATATTGATCATTCCTCGCGTATTCATACCGTTTTATTTGTTGACACGGTACACGTATCTCCACGTTATTGTAGAATAAAGGAACAGTATGCCTCAGACATGAATACATATTTGTTTTCTGCAGGAAAGGCAAACATGAGTGTTTTTTATAACATTAAGATAATTGCTTAAGAGCTTGCAAGATACTTATCGCCATAATAAAGGGGGCGCTGATTGTGATATTGTTAATCAGAAAAGTAGCATAATGTAAACAAAGTTGTATTTTGACTTTCATGGATGAAACACCAAACAATTATCAAGGCCGTAAGGCCGAGAACCTTTTTTTTGTCGATAAATTAAAAAGGCTTTTGAAAAAAAAAATAAATAAACAAATAAAAATACAAATAATGATTAAAAAAAACAAAACAAAAAACGAACAAACATTTTTTGGACATAAATCGTAGATCTACTACAAAATTTAGATAATTTTGATGTAAATGAACTGTAATAAATTCTATTCTAAAGTTTTTCTTCTTTCTTCTAAAAATAGAAATAAATTCTTACGTTATCAGCAATTTGTTATTGGAAATTGCATTCGTGTTGTAATCAAATTTCTTCTCCCCGAGCTCCCAGTCTTCAGTCGAATTTGCATTTATACAATAGTAGCTATTGTCCCCAATCGTTGGTGTCCCGACACATCCGGTAGAACATCGCCACTTGTCCCCAGACAGTGAAGACACGTAACTTCCGGAACTTGTATTTCCAAAACAGCCATTACTGCCATATTTCCATGACATCCGGATGTGAAATTTTATCTTAAATAGATAATATTTTTATGGATTAAAATCTAAGTTTTTTTAATCACCATGTGTGTTCGAACACAACAGTTCAAGAAACACTTTCAGCGATATAATTTAACTGATCGGAAACGCCTTTATAATAAAATGATGGTCTTTAAATAACTAAAATAAAAAGCAGAATTTCAAAAGCAATTTATAGAAATAATAAAAATAATACCAATACGATGATCTGAAACAACAAATTTCTTTTTTTTTTCAAAAGTAACAAACAAAAATAATAAAAAAAATAAATGAAAAATAAAGATAATATTAAATTAAAAAAAAGAAAGAAAAAAAATCGTATAGATTTGTCTTTTTCTTCTATACATTTGTTTTTGAATTGTTCAATTCCTTCTTTTATTTGCTTTTTAAAAATATAATTATGAAGTGGCATAAGAAAAAAGTGTAATAATTCAAAGTATCATTAATAAATAAATAAATAAATAAATAAATAAATAAATAAATAAATAAATAAATAAATAAATAAATAAATAAATAAATAAATAAATAAATAAATAAATAAATAAATAAAAGAACTCTTATCAAATATTTGATGATCATATCGTTTCATGCACAAAATAAATATTCCATAACTTATGAAATCAAATATTTGCCAAACAAGAAAAAAATGTGTCTTTTTAATCTCGAACTCGAGACCAAACCTTACATCAGTTGTGTTGTTTGCTGCCCAGCTTATAGTTCCTCCACGGTAGTAACTGCTGTTAGCAACATACACTAGCTGCATTAACAGCAGTATGTTAAAACTGAAAATTAATTTTGAACTTCTGAAACACGCCATTCTGATAGCTCTGCAGGATTCGGTATGAATAAAGCAAGTGGGGGTTTCACTTCTCTAAAAGTCAGAGCAAAAAATGATAACTTAAAAGTCTTATGTAATCTTTTTTACCTATGTGATAATGATAAAAAAAATTCACGACTTTTCCTTGTATGTTTTTGGATTTCTAATTTGTAAAATACCAATACTTCCTTTAAATTTAAAGGTGTAAGCCAGAATTATGAATTGATATAGACATGTTTCAAAGCGAATAATTTGTAAATAACTTTTTACAAGTCTAAATAAAATCCTGCTTATAATAGAGGGTTATCGCACAATTAACTGTGTACAATATACAAGAGTAATGTCCAATCATTCCTATTTATTAATATGTTTTTTTGTCATTTCAATGGTTAAACTAGTACATGAAAATCAGGGCAAATGGAGATTTCTTTATTAAAATTATTGAAAGTTCACAACAAAGCGTCCTTTTTATCTCGCGCATTAACATCTGCAGATTAATACATGTAAGCCCGAGGGCATCTGCAGATGTTTAAGCACGAAAATTGGTGCACTATCTCTATTATCGCATAAAACTTTACGTCTTAATTTCATTATCTGTATTTAGTATAAAAGACGTTGGTTGCTTTCCATGTACTGTTGCGATGCTCTTTGACAGTTTGTTTTTATACTAAAATTACCAAGACCGTCATTGCATTAAGCTATTTAAACATCCACCCTGAGTCACGCATATCAAAATAATACACTTGCAATAATGGCGCGTGATTCGTTAATCTATGTTTTCTTCTCCGTAAATGCACAATTGCTTGCGTAGTTTTAAATTTGCGTAGTTTGAAATATTTTATATGATGTCATCTATTTTTACATTATTTTTTAATGATTTCGCAATTTAATGTGTTTCAGCTAGAATTAAATTCATGTTACAAACGAACATTTCTGCGAAAACGAAATTCCCTTTTAAAGTTGGTTATAAACCTTTAAAACTGAAAGATTATTGAATTTATTTTTTTCTATTAATGATTAAAGGGTTATTTGGATTTCCCCTCTTCTTTGATAACGGTGTTGATTGACGTATGGTAAAGTGTTCCTTCTTGCATAAGTTCAGATATATTATCAATGTCAATAGCACATTAACCTCTTTAAAATAACGCAGATATCATAACATTGAAATAACCAATAGAAAACACCGTGGAATCGTTGAGAAAACACGGAAATGATTTTGAAAAACTATAAGTTGCTGTCAATAATGATTGAGAACAGGGGAAATTTATCAGTTTGTGTCAGATAAATCAATCAGAAAGGTAAATATGCAGATTGAATTATTCAGCAGTTTAATCAATTGTCCAATAGAAATATTTGTAGGTCTATACAATTATGTCACAATGAGGAAAATACCCTAAGGTAAAATCAGCTGTAATAAATTCTAATATTGAACTATGGTCTTTAATCATATACTTGACAAATGCGTATATTAATTCTTATATTGTACTATGGTCTTTAATCATATACTTGACAAATGAACATAAAAAGATAAAGGTCCAATTGGACCGGCGCATTTTGCGAAATGTAATAACTCAAAAGCAGTCTATTTGTCAAAGTTTTTTGTAAAACAAACAACAACAAAACAAACAAACAAATAAACTCACAAGATTTTGAAACTTTCATTAGGTAAAAACGAAAACGGATTAAAGTATGTCCGTTAAAAATAATTGAAAAATGAAAACGAATGTCAGTAAATGCCTTAAAGGGCACCTGTATGCACACTTAAAACACTTGAACTGAAGCTAGAGTATTAGAAGAGCTCTTTTTTATAAATGAAGAAATTGAAAAAAATAAATAAATAACACATAAAATAAATGTGGGTAACAGTAACAATATCCTTCCAATCAGGGTGTACAAATCAGATGTGAATGTATCACGGAGCTAGCTGCAACAACAAACATAATTCTTGTACCAAAATTTTTTTTTACGTCATTAACAATCCGTGCGAAATCTAAGATATGCATGAATTGTACATATTGATTTATTGTCAATATTCGTACTAGCGTGCAAAAATGTTACAGTTTTGACACACAAATAAATAAAAACAAATTGGTTAATCACAATTTATTACATATTAAACATAATCAAATCAAACATTTGTGTACACGAAATAATGTAAAAGAAAAATACCATCAAATAAAATGATTGAACAAGCATCTAGGTATTATTATTATTATTTTTTTTGTTGAAAGCTATACTTGTATAGGTAGTATCCTAATTACTTTGATCTGTAATCAGCAAGGGGACGGGGGCAAATTTTAAGATAAAAACTATTACATTAAATCCTTCTCATTACAAATACTACGCACACAGCAGAACAAATACAATATGACTGATGCTTGGCTGGGATCTAATAGCAAGATGCCTCCAGTTTTATTAAAATTTTGAAAATGTATATAAAAGTGAAACATTGTTAATAGAACAAAGAAAGTAATTTACACATTGAAAATAGCACTTACAATCCACGTTAATTACCAAAAAGATATTTTTGCATATCATATGATGGCCATTTCCCCTTACCCTGACCCTGTGACTAATCTTGGGCTGACTTAGGCCATGATTTACAAGATAAAGGTATCACAATATCTCTGTCTTTCAATCCAAGTCGTCCTTTTATTGCAAGTGAAGGTCCACAATGTACTGCACCTGGGATTAAACCTCTATTTACGTTTTTTTAAACAATATTCTTCCATTTCGGTCAATAATATGGTTTTTATCACGAATGACACTGTCGAAAAAGAAGTTCAATAGGTGGTTTAAGTTGTAGGAAACAATAACAGTGGGTAGTATTCTTATTTTGTATCATAAAATAGTTTTCTTTATTATGTTCCCACTCTAATGGGTTTTGTATTACGCTCACTCTTTGATCACAGACAAAAATATTGACATCTTAATTAAGTTCTATGGTAGTTGTGCCTTCACTCTGACTCCCTAGGCAAGAAATACGATTCAAAAATAATCATCACCAAATGACCGCAATATCATGCCCTTCATAGTGTCACGAAGATTGTATACTCTTTTCTTTCTCATTGCAATTCTTTCATTGACACCACTGACGTCTTAAACTTCTGACAATTTCAGTTATAGATGTACCATGTAGTCAAGTGCTTGAAACATCCTGTGGATTTAAAAACAACTTCTTTAGTCACTTACAAAGCTTTTGCTGAGTATCTGAACGTCTTACTTACATCGTATTCATACTGTAATAGAACAAAACAAGTAAAACAAATCTTATTTTTGTTTGCTAACATACTGTTGTTTCAAAATATTTGATATCACTATTCACTTTTTTCTATCACGATGTTGAAGAACCAACTTCGTTCTGATCACAGACCGTTAATGTTTTCCTTAACGTCTCAGTCAGAATACATGGCCAGATCTATCTTAGTCTCTAAAAATGTCCATTTATTTTTTCGTTCTAAAGAGCCGATGTAACAAATGATTATGATTTGATATTGCGGTGTGAAAGAAACCTATTTTAAATAAATACATGCGATCAGTTTAATATATCATTTCCGATATAATTCTATTGTTTTAAAATTCAACACAAGTCGAAAAATATGTTAATTACTGTTTTGCATTCTATTACAGAATAAGACATTTCTTCATCTGCAATTAATGATGGTACTCTTAAAGAAAGATTGGTCTGTTCCGTGTCACATAATGCTCACTACTATCAATTTAGTTATAGAAAATATTGCTAAATTGTAAGATATAATAATGTTAAATACAACTAATGACATGTACAACATATTTTCATTTCTGTTGATTTAACTAAGTGTTATAAAGCTGCTTAAGTCAGATATTTTCGTATGTTTATAGAGCTAAATGCCAATAGTCAATAAAATACAAAGATTAGAAAAGTGTTAAAATGTCGTTCTTTAACGATATGTATAAATGAAGTATAGGCCTTAATGGTTAAAATTTTGGCAAATTAATGAAAACATAATTTTAAAGTTAGATGACATAATTTAAATGTCAGTTTTATCAACATTTATACAATATCTCATGTTCATGTCCGAAAACATATAATAAAATATTTCAATATTTGTAAACAGTAAACAAATAACCTACAAATCATAAAATAACTTTAAATGTTGGTCTAAATAATATTGTGAAGAGTTCAAATACAGTCAAAATTGAATCGTTTTATCTTTTTCACATATGTCATTAAACTTCCTCTTCCTCGTTCGATTTCAGAACAGGATAACTCTTTTTCGGTTCATATTAATTTCATTACATCCCTTTGAGAAACTTTGAATAAGTGCTTACTTTAGTAACATTATATTGCCCTGTGCGTCTGTATTCCATATTTCGTAAGGAAATTACACCAGTTATAAGTGTGTAGACAGCAAATTCTGTTAACTTAAGTATCTGCTTTGCCCAGGCACTTTTAAAAAATATTTGATTGAGGGTGTTAATTAGTGGCTTCTATATATTATATTATATAGAAACATTTAAGGACATGAGTGGTGACATATCCGGGGTCCGCACTCTCAGTGCCTGAAAGGGCGGATGGACCCTCATTAAACCTAGAATACATACAAACATACATACGCACGCACGCACGCACATACAATACATACATACATGCACACACTTTCAGGCTTGTGGACATGCAAGCTAGGATTTTAAGTTTTAATCGATCTCTTTAAAAGCAAATCTATATTATTGTAAAATAGCTGGATTTTCACGTACACAATTTGATATTCAAGTTTTTAAATTTTACATTCTCCTTTTTGACATATGCAAGAGCGTTGAATGTTGAAACTTGTATCTTTAATGATGACTACTGATGTATTCTCGGAGGCAATTTGTAAAATAAAGGTTAATACCTTTCCCAGAAAATTTAAGACAGGCAAGGATGTTGAATATTACCCTTTCTTTGATACGTTCGCTTCATACTAATTTAAAAATGATACAGCGGCATTATCAGTACTTCTAGCACAGACAATGAAAGGGTCCTCCAGTAATATGTTTGGGAAAATAAAATAGACATTTTGAAAAAAAGGAACGGGCATCACTTTATGTAAACTGAACTTAATAGGAAACTTGCATGATTATGAAGAACTTTCTAGAGAAAATGCCTTTAAATGGTCCTTGCTATAGAACGGGCAGAAGCCCTGGTGATATGTTAACCTTTAAAAACCTTAAAATAAATAATGTAGAAATGCTTGATTGTAAAATTATACGTCATCTTATTCTTGTATATATTAATTTACAAACAGAAGCTGCAAACAAGGGTAGTACATTGTGATTCAATCAAGGACTATTTCAAATCTACATGTACCAATATATGTACTTAAAAGTTAAACATACATTTATTAGAGAACAGTTTACACTATTTAACATGTACATTAAGTAACCGAGACCCTCCTTGTTTGAAGAATGACCAAAAACATGGTCAAAAAGTTTCCAATATGGTTGCTAATTTTCACATTTTCCTAAATGATGAATTAAGGATTCGGTTTTACATAATTTAAAATAGGTTTACATTAATAATAACATATTGTAATAAAGTAATAAAAGGTAGTGAATTAATTGAAAATACACTTTGTAATTGTTAAAGTATGTTTTAATATGTCCGTGAAAAGTATGCACTATCAAACTTCAAAGCATGCATTCAATATTGAAGCAGGTTTTGTGAAAAAAATACATGTATAATTATACGTTTGAATGTGCTTGAATAGCAACCAAGGTCGATTAGGAAATTAGGACACGTGGTTTTTATTTATGACTGAGAGACTCTGTATTTATCTGTTTCTCTTAGATTTACGTTCATATATAAGAAAGTACACACAGAACTGCCGGCGTTCCAGCTCATATAGCCCACAGACATCTACTAGACCGAAACCGGAGACTGAGGTTCGTTTAATATATGGATAAAGATGCCTTGGAGATCAACAATATGTAATGAGGTCTGTTGCCCTGTTTACTATTTCTTATATTATGCCATGAAGTAGACAAAACAATATTGCTTATAAATAAATAACTTTTATTTTGTAAAACATACTGAAATAACACTATGCCAAACAGCAACAGCAATTTGAAAATTATGTTTTAGCAAAAGTGAAGAGTAAATATATTTGTGCTAAAAAGTTATAACATAAAATAAGGTTTATTAAAATGGCATATGCTACAACTTAAACAACATGCAATGAGTGTGTACAATAATTACAAAGTAAATAAGAATAGTCAAAAAGGTACAATAGCAAACACAAGTTACCAAAAATACGAATATAGCTTATGTACAATAAATGTTTACCAAACAAATATTGTAGATAAAAATTATATAAAAAAGAACAACAGAAAACAACAGATTAACATATATACACAGTTTCTTTATACATGTATTATCATGAATGTGTTTAATGTGCCGATGTACGCATGTGTATCTGATTTGGCATGCCTAACACTTTCTGTGATCATGTTTATGTACATTTAACCCTTACAGGTGCTCAGTGTTCCTTAAATAAATGTATTTTCATTTTCCCCAAAATACTGGTGGAGGTACCCCATGGTACTTAATTTCACACGCCCAACACTTCCTATGCTTATGCCCATGTGACCGTTGCTTAATTTTCACGGGATCTGTCTCTTTCTTGCTCTCTGAGATTTCCTCGGCCTGCAGTGATTCCGTGTGCATATTCTTGTCTTCCTCTTTCTCGACATCTTTTTTGTCTCTCCTCGTCTAGCGGAATTGTTTTCTTGCAGTCTGTTTCTAAAGCTGGTTCAATCTTGATGAGACAAAACAAGTATGCTGCATAGAAACCTACTACGGTTAGAGTACCCAGAAATGTTCCAAGAATACCGAAACCAATGGAATTTCCTACTTTATATTTGTAGCAAAGTTGCTGTTTGGCGTGTCCAAGAAAGCAGTTGCACTCAGTGTAATGCATATGTGGGCTTACCTGGAGAGGAAATCACGACTCTGTCTAATAATCATACAGATTAAACAAATATGATAAATGAAATGTACAAATTGATACTGCAACTGTAGGATCTTACAATTATGCAATTATTTCAAGTCGTATTTCGCCAAAAAAAATATCAATTATATAAAGACATGGTAGTTTATTCAATATTATATGTCTGAATTTTTTTGGCCAGACATTAACTCAATTTTAATGTTTACAATTCAACTCATGAGGATAAAATGTAAAATAAATACTGCACACTGTACAGTACAATAGCCGAGGAACACGACTATTAAGGTGTTTTGAAAATATCCTAAAGATTTTGTTTTACACAGAATATCATTTATGTGAAAAGTACTTACCATTAACGATGAGTTAACGAACAATTCATTTTGTTTTCTGTACGCACAATGTATACCTTCCCAATTATCATCACAATCACAGATGAAGTACGTACTATTGACGGCCTCACATATGCCATTATTCATACATGGATCAGAATCGCAAGGATTCATTCCTTAAATTAAAAGTAAAAGTCTTGATAATTTTAAAGATAATATCGTTCATCAGAATACAGACACAATGAGAAATGCTGAAAAAGTATCAGTTTTACCGTGTATATATATTTGTTTATGATAATAATTTATGTCAGAATACATTGACACAAGTGTGCCTCGATGAGTACACAAGATCATTCGTTCTTGCAAGGAAACTGATACCAGGTCGCTATACGTATTTAAATGTGAATAGAATAATGGTTCCTTTAAGAATGAAATACACAGCTTGAAAAACACAATATGTTGAATTCTGCTTATGGTGCTAGGGGTCGTGGACGGTAGTTTGTATTCAGACTCAATCAATCCGAGCCTGCAACATTTTAAATTTTGCCGTTTTGGACGTTCTTAAGGGATTCCTTTTTTCTCTTTTTTTATATCATTTTAAAATGTCAAAAAAGTCTATTGTATTTGTTACAAGTATCTGAAGTACCTGTTTGACAAGTTGTTCCTGTAAATCCTGGTAAACATGTACATGAAAATGCTCCAATCAGATCTGTACAGTTACCACCATTCAAACATGGGTCAAACTCGCATTCATTTATATCTGGGGAAGTGAATAAATTTATAGTATAGTAAAAATATTTCACAAAATAGCATGCATTAAAAGCTCAATCATATATAGTACCATGAAAGCAAAACCCTGTTTTCACCAAAATATTTTTAATAGAAGTTTCTAATCTTCAAAACGTTGGTGCATGTCAATTTCTGTTTAAAGAATGAACAAAAGATTGAAGTCATACATACATTTTCGCATTATGTTTCATAGCTAATAATAAATGGTATAAACATGTTGAAAAAATAGTACCTGTTTCACACTGTTCTCCCGTATAACCATTAATACAACCACAAAAGAAACTGTTGGGGAGATCAAAACATGTTCCATTGTTAAAGCAAGGTCCACTCTGACATTCATCTATGTCTAAATAGTTTAAAATTGGCATTTTGTTAAAATGTATATATATCACCAGGAAAAAAATCCGGATAAGCCATATATTAAATATATAGGCCTTCCAAAATACGTATGATAAATAGATCGATTTATTTTAATTGGTAGTTATTGATGAAAGATCTGAGGAGTTCAAAGCACTCATTTTGTATTTCTATTATCAAAAAAATATAATATGCCTGCGTGTTGAATTTACAAAAAAGTACAATGCTTAAGTAAAATGGATAAAACGGGTAGATTTATCTAGAAAAAACAACAACAAAAACAACAACAACAACAACAAAAGCCCCCCAAAACACAAAGAGAACAGTGTTGGCCTTTTCGATTACTCAGTCAAACTCAAAGGAATAATGTAATGCGTTAATAAAACAGGAACAGTGAATGATCAACATGAAATTGAATTTCTTAGACAGGCAGACTTACCTATTTGACAAAAGACTCCAGTATACCCTGGCAGGCATTCACACGTATGACCATTGGTGAGATCATGGCATGTCCCGTTGTTGAAACATGGTGCACTTAGACATTCATCAATTTCTAAGGAAGATAAACAATTATACTATTTCTAGAAATATTAAATGCTAAATAATCATTCGTTATGCCTTAAATATATTAAAATTAACCTGTACAGTATAGTTGATTAAATATGCAAATTAAAAAAAAACACATCTTAATCAAATATCACAATACACACTTTATGGTTTTGTATTACATTTTAGGCTTTGTGGTCACAAAAAAGTGGAGTATCAAAATAGAATAAAACATATCCTTTCAAACAAATATAAGTACATTACTCTTTTGCAATGTGTACAAGTACATTTGATAGATCCGAATACCGCCGATAATACAAGTATAAACATGACGATTTAACATTTTGTCTCTCCTTTTTAATCTTAATTTTTAGAATTTATTTTTGTTAATTTACTTACCCGAAGTAGCTATTATTACACATCTTGTGTCACTACTCATTCTGTAAAAGCAATAGCACTGTGGCTAATATATTGCTTTATTTTATTGGAACAAACATTTAAATGACATAAAGACGTGGAATAACTAAACAAATGCTCAATAAACAGACGCTTATATAAAACTTGATGATTTAACGTGTTTTCTTTTTTTAGAAAAAAATTATTGCATGCATAGTTATCAAATAAAAAAAATAAAAAAAAGAATAATTTTCTTACTCAAAGGTGTCCGTGGCCTCTACACACAGTGAATGTGAACCTTTATCAGCAGGTGTTGGTACCCATGTTAGACCAACAGAATATACCTGGGGTGAATGGCTTAATTGGCGAATCGTTGATTTTTGCATCCCCGGAGGTCCAACTGACAGAAATTCCTTGATACTAACATATAAATAATATTTATATTACATATCATATATTCGTTATATTCAATTGTCAATATGGCAAAACGTAGCATATTAAAAAACCCTTTTGCCCCTAAAAATGATTTTACTTTTATTTCTTCTTTTTACAAACAATTTGTATCTAACATGGTCTTTATCCATTTTTCTAAACGTAATAAAACTAATGTTTGCCCTTTATACAAAGTTTAATTTTTTTGTTTCTGAGAAATAATGTGCCTTTAAAGTTTTGTAAAAGATAGATTCTGAATTGGTAAGAGAAATTAATCAAAATTTTATCTTACCCAAAGAGAAATTGTCCCAGCATATACGTTTATATAGTTATCAAATGAGGCTCCTGCACATTATTTTGAATGATTTAAAAAGGTATGTTTGAATTGCTGATTTCTTTTAAAATATCTTTTTCTTTACAAAATACAGACAATAACATAATCAATCACTAAGTTTCATGCAGTACATATTTCGCCTTTTATCTTTATTGTATTGCTATACTACATAATTTGATAAAAGGTGTTAATCCGATGTATAGCAGAAAAGAGTAAAAATGACGTTGCAATTGCAAGTGTCTTTGCCGGAACGCTTAACAATTGTTTAAAACATATAAAGTTATGACAAAATAACCATCACCTAGACCCTTCAGATGTAGCATACACACTAAGGACAAGCGCCTTTGCCGGTGGCACAACTATGACTTCACCTTCCACTGGTGTAGGCTATACAAAAACAGGTTTCTCCGAACATGATCGAGATTGAATATCAGGTGTGTTGACCAGGAACTATAAACAGAACAAAACAAAACAAACAAAAAACAATACAGAAATGTCTTGATTTGATTAAAATTTGACGAAGCGGTTCCATAGTATTGACTTTTTGTTTTTAAATCAAAATAAAGATATATCCCTAATTTTTGCCATATATACAAATTATTCCAGCTTAGAAATTACATTAGTAACGTACACATTTCTTAACAACTTGCTAGAATTTATAAATAATAAACGAAAACATATCGTCGCCTTAGTGCAATAACGGAATAAGTATTTCTAAATTTAATAGCAGTTATACAGTTATTGCACTAAAGTGACGATATGTGTATAATAACATTGAAAATCAGAAATAATTTATGTAGATTAATTCCAAATAATATCAATTTGAAAGTAATATCTGTTTGACTCTTGGAAATCGATATGTTTCATTACATGACTTGTCAAATAATGTCAAATCAAACTTACTTGAATAGGAACGCTTGACAAAGTATCTTTAGATGTGAAAGTTTCGTCACCTAAAGTTATTGTACTATTGGGTCTGTCCTCTACCACCATAGCAACGGCATAAGTATCATCCGCGTTTCCTATAGCGTCTATGGTCAGTGTACATTTGTCCTTAGAATCAGAAATATTTTAAAAGAAAGATACAAAAATCAAGTATATCATGCAGCAATTAAAGTAAGTAACTATCTGACAGAAATGAAATTGATTTTGATTATCTTTTTATAAAATCACTAATTACTCGAAAGCATTGTTCTCACAATGGATGGTTAATGCACAATTTTTCGTCCATTAACATCTACAGAAGCACGAAGAGGCATAAAGAGCCCACCTGCGTACGCAGAGAGATTGGTTAAATATAATTTGAAGGCTTCGGCAGTTGTTTATGCTCGAAATAATGTGCGTTAACAAAGATGCATTCCTTCAGCATACATAAATATTTCCATCATAATAAGCTATATTAATAAAGAAATATTTAACATCTACATACAGCGTCTAAGACTGCATTCTGAATTCTCGAGCAGGCCCCACCGCACTCATCTCCTACAGCCCATCTACATCTAACATTGTCTCCATCTTTGTCTATTACTGGTATCTTTATTGTCTCTGTGCATCCATGTTTAATCCTAATAAGCATACAGATTAAACATGCATATCAAAGTTGCACATGTAATTCTCAAAGAGGTAAAGTACTTATAATATGCATATATGAAAAAACGACAATTTTCTGCGAAGCGTATGACACAGTTTACATAATACCATTAAAGTGGACTAAGTAAGTAAGCTCCACTAGTAAGTTCTTGAACAATGCATAATTGCCCCTTTTAGCGATGACTATAACACAGCAGTGTGAATTTTCACTTATTAAATATATATTACTGTGACGAATCATTTTAGTAGATAATATTGTTCACTACTTAACATGCATATATAGAAAAAGAACCCCACCTCCTACCAAATAGAAATAAACAAGCTCAAAGAAATTACATGTTTTAACAAAACAAATATCTTGGATCTAAATTGGTTGTATATGTTTGTGACTGCCTTTCAGTTTAAACGTACGTGTATTTCAAAATTGTCAGTTTAACATATATTTATTTGATTAAACGGTCTGTTGTATGTATTTGAAACTCTACTGCACTTGGAGGAAACGTATCAAAGCATCTTAATGTTAGGTTAAATTAAAATGAGATAAAAATAAAAATTTGACAAAAAAGAAACAAAAGCGACCTTAGGCCCTAGAAGATGAAAATTCATGACCTATTATTTATGTAAAAATAAGTAATAATTACAAAATAGTGAAAATAGTGTATGAATGTTGTTTATTTTACCAATTTGAAATGTCTAGTAAGTTCTTCAAAATCTATAGCCAAATTCATTGCATTTCTATGATTACCTTATCATAAAATATCAGTTGTTATATCTTTGTAATTGTCTTCTGAAAGCATATACAGCTAATAGTAATATTATTTATATAATTATGGTGTGAAATATTTGTTTGAAAAAAATGCAGTTTCAAAACTCACGTGTATAAAGGTTTTGAAGAGGCAACAGGACTAGTGTTTGGAACTTTCAAGTCTGATCGTAATCGTAAATCTACGGTGGTTGCAAGGCTTATGTCCGTTGATCCTGTTCCATAATCTAAAGCTATCCAGCAACAACTTGAATAACTAAACCACGAGACGAAGAATTGTATAATTGTTCACATTGAAGCAAAAATAACCAAAAATATACATATAATTTTATATATATTTGTTTCGCTTATGCTCCATTCTGCAATGCTCATTTCGTTTCGAGTTTTTTTATGTCTTTGACTATGTTAACACTGGTATGTGTTTGATTTTAAAATGAGTGAATATATATAGGTAATGTACAACCAATTAGTCTTACCAGTTACGCATAACAATATTAAAAAAGAAGTAGTCCTATCAAAAAGAGATTAATGCACGTTGATGTTCGTAAACCTACTGTGGTAGGAAGGTCGAGAGATTACCTGATTTGTTATCTTTACATACATGTAACGGTAATGTGACCTGGGCCATTAACAAGGATTTTTTATTATTATTATTTTGTTTTCTGTTTGACAAAATGCATCATAACAAAGGCTCTAAAAAGTTACATATAAACCTTAATATAAAAAACTCTTCCAATCTTTTCTTTTAACAATACATTTTATTGTTTAAAAATAGAGAAAAAAAGAATCCCTAAAGAAAGTCGGAAAACGGCAAAATTGATAATTTTTAAGGCTCGATTTGATCAGCCTTTTCATGGACGGTAGTGATAACTGCTAACCCTCTAACACCGGCTTCAGCAGAATTCAACATTGAAGCCATAACTTGTCGATTCAAGCACAATGTTTAAATATATTTTAGTAACAAATCAAAGTCTTGCAATATTTTAACTCTGCCATCACGAAAGTTACACTTGCGCATTGCAGACAGCTTATGTATGACCCTTACTACAAGCTTTGTATTTTCCTATTTAGTATGACAAGTGACGTGTAGTTCCTCCATACCCTCTGTCAACATTTTATAAAATGCTTTTTAAATGTAGTGTGTTGTAGTGAAAAAGTGTGTAGTAAATTGTACGACTTGTTGTAACTTTTTTTTTAGTTTATAAACAAGTTTATCGACTTCTGTATAAAAATTTGAATATATGAAGACCCAAACTAAAAGAACAAATCAAATAGGGGAAAAGTACATTATGTTTAGACGATGATTTACACTGCTGTTTGATTTCAGATATGAATGCAAAGAGACAGGCAAAGCACAATCTACATCCCTAACATTAGTTTGCGATACAATAGCTACAGTGATCTTGTTCATCAAAGGAGTAACATCTCATTTATTTAAACATTTTAAACCTTCTAGGAAGATATGCATCCAAGAAAACAATTTTGATGATATTGAACTTTAATGAAATTAACAACATAGATCTATATTTAGAACATAAACACGTAAATCAATGTGTTATTTGATCAATACCAATAGTTACTGTATTGAACTATTCAATAAACTTTTGAAAATAATTCAAAGCATTTTAATATTAATTTTATAAATGCAAAAGAGATGATGTATTTGACATTTTTGCATACTTAATCACCATCAAAATGACAATTGTAATAACATTGTAGTTTTTTCCCTCTTCTTTACTCCTCAGCAATATTGTGAAATCATAAAACTTTTTATTGAATATCTGTTTTCGCGTGTAATTTCAGAATTCAGTATTTATAAAACTATAGTTCTAATCAAGGGTAAAGATGATTATCTTACCAACCTAACGGTGAATTTTCCATCTGAACTAAACGTATATGAAAAGGAATATTCCCCTAATTCCCAGTTTTGTGAGCTGCTGGCGGATATGCATGTATATCCTTTTGATGACAATGTAATTGATCCGCTTCCGCATCCGTAGGTACATTTCCAGTCGAAAAGAGTTTTATTCACATAAGAACCAACAAGCGAAGAAGTACAGCCTGCGCCATGACTGAATGTCCAGCCAAGCTTATACGTAAATTCGATCTAGAAAGAACAATAGATTGGTTATCAATTTATAACCCAATAGATTAGTTATCAATTTATAACCCTAAAAAAAGAAAACTACTTAGTTATGCAAGTGAAGTATCATAGATAAGGTCTTTTAAATATTAGTAAAGATGCAACAATATTGACAAAAACATTCAGTTATTCGATAATAAATAAATGAACAAATAAAAAAAAATAACTTAAAAATGTAATAATAACAAAAAACCGGATGAATTACTTCTCGACCGTTTCCGGTTGGTTTCCAACTTATTGCTCCTCCTCGAAAATGACTGCCTTGACACATAGCAATGATAGATATGGCAAGAGTAAACAGATATTTAAAAGCTGTGTCCATGATGAGAGATTACAATTAAAATGCTATTTCGCCAACATGCATTCGTTTTATATCAAACCACATTTTTAAAGTTGAAAAATATACATTTAATTTACTTTACAAATCAATATAATTTACAAAATGAAAAAAAGAATTTATAATTACCCAATCAAATTTAAGCTTGTAACTATTTACGCTTAGGAAATTTTCCCTATCATTTTTCTTTTGTTAAGTTGCAAATACGATGACAATTCTGTTCAAAGATTGGCACCAAATCAGATTATGTTTTACGTTCTCAATGCATTTTGTAATGTTAAACGCTGCTGGCTCCGCCAAAACAATATGACAAAGCAATATTATTTATAGATATAGAAAAATAAAATAGTTTAAAATTAACCCAATCAAATTTAAGCTTATAACTTTTTACGTGAAGGAATATTCCCCTATCATTATATTTTGTTTACTTGCAAGGACGATAACATTTTTTATTGGAACCTAATTCGACTAAATGTTTTACGTACACAATGCATTTGTAGAGTTGTTTACAAAACGTTGTTGACTCTGTCAATACAATGCTATTTAATCATGCACAATGCCTTTCAAAACGACATTATATGTATGCGCGTCATCTATTCAATCATAAATGTGCTATTAAAATCAACAGCTTCTTTCGTTGACAGTTTTGCAGTAAACAGGGTATTTTCGGTTGCATAAATAAGCAAAGGCACGTAAGCGTTAGGGGAACATCGATTTTTTGTAAATCAATTTTTTATCAATTATGAAAATGCACCTGATGTATTGATATCTCTATAAATAACTTATAATTATGCTAATAGGAAACTCTCACAAAATTATCAGTTGAAATTGTTAGTTGGGATTTATAAGGAAGAGTGCGAATTAAATATAAAACAATGATATTAACATGATGCCAAGGCTATTGTCATGATTGTGTGGCATATTTGTTCATATATGACATAATTTGAATATGCCGTTTGTTTTGGAATGCAGCATGATTGTATAACCATTGTAACTAATTTTGGGGTATTATATAATTTTCGCCTCTGTATTAAAAACAACAAAGGCTTGGTTGCCTATTCTTATATGTTCATCTTCGGTCTTTTGATTTATTCATATATACATGTAATTATCTAGCATAATTGGATATTAATGTCCGTGCATAGACATTGCATGTATTTATTTTATTTTTATAAATTAATAATGTGAGCCACTATTCATAGTCATAACCGCATATTTGTTCTAAACAAAGCAGAACAATATTGAATGTATGAGAAGGAATATCATTGTCAATTCAGTAAATTTAGATCGTATTTCATTGTTGATTAAATAAACCTTAACATTTATGTTAAATAATAATCGTATTCGCTTGACACACCAGGGACCTCCGTATCTGTTAAAATATCAACATTAAAATATATTTTCCATGTTAACAGCAATACATATGTGAAGATATTTTTACTTTATTATAAAATTAATGCTTAAATGAAATAAATCAGTAAATCTACGATCTATGATTTTTTTGAACGAAAAACGAATTTAAAAATCATTTTTTCATTTTCAAGTAAGTGTTTGCGTAATCAATATTATTTCAAAATGATATATTCGGTTAATTACAGGTAAACCTCACACTAGATACAAAAACCCTTCAGTACCCTCCAGTATAATGTAATGACAAAATTGATGTCAGTTTAAAATAACGTCTCTTGAAACTTGTTTATGATCCATTTTTAACCAATATATTTTATTTCCCTATCATAAAATATCAAACATATCCTTACTTGGTTTTAATATATTGACAAGTCAAGATCCATTTTTATAATACTCGTACAAACAAGCAATACACTATATAAATAAGTCAATGACAGCACAAGTATCAATAAAAAAGTGATACATAATTATGTTATTGACATATATAAATGAATAAAAGCCATCGAAAGCTTGGCCAGGTGCTATTTGTTTAATGATTTAAAGAACAAGAGGATGATAGTTTGAGTATGACCAATTAAAATGTGTAAAAAACCGTGATGTGGACTTTGTTTGACTCATATACTCAGCTGACTCATATGCAAACTTGAGCTAGAGGCCATCTCATCATCATTTCTAATCAATTTCAAGGATATTTGGACCAAAGTTGTAGCCTCAAGAGTATTAAAGTTTTTTTTCAAATATTTTGGCTGTATGACCTATTATTTAACCCTAGAAAGCCCTTATTCAAACTTGAGCTAGAAATCATTTTAACAATCTTTCTTACCAATGTCAAGTATATTTGGACTTAAACAGTAGCCTTAAGAGTGTTCACACGATTATGTCATATTTCGACTATATGACCTAGATTTTTACTCAAGATAACCTATATTCAAACCTGAGCTCGAAATCATCTACACAACCATTCTGACAAATTGCCAGGGTATTTGGACTTAAATAGTAGCCCTTGTAGTGTTTACAAGACTATATCATATTTAAACTGTGTGACCTAGTTTTGACCCAAGGTAGCCCATATTTTATCATCATCTGGGAATCATCAAAACTACACCCCTCTGACTAATTAACAGGATTTTGGACCAAAACAGTAGACACTATAGTGTTTACAAGTATTTTTATATTTAGGATGTCTGACCTAGTTTTTGACCACAGATAACCCATATTTGAACTTAATTTAGAAATCATCTAAACATCGTTTCTGACCAAAAACATGTGACTACTTGATTGTAAACTAACCAAATATACAAGGACGACAAACGACGTACATTCAACGATCCTAAATGCTCAGTCTGAGCCAACTCAGGTGAGATAAAATAGCTTGTGCCCTAAGGAAATGGAATTTTAAAAGGGGAACAGAAGTTATTAAGGCCTGCACATCACAGGCCAAGTTAAAAAGCAGGTCACCTATCCTAAGGTTTTAGAGCAATTTAATTAAAATATAAACTGGTTGACCCCGGGCGAGGATTATTTGACCACATCGATGTGATGTGTGTATCTTTTGATGAAAACTAGAAAAAAAAATCTGGAAACAAAGTGATCCTTCGGAAGCATTGATCACAATAAAATTACATGAAAATTGCAGACTCGGGTTGATTGAGTCTGAACATAACGGAAGGTGATGCTACATGCTAAATACCTATGCTCAAGGCATTATTGTTTAGGAGTTTATAAGATATTTAAACTAAGTGACTCAAAGTGAGGTCATTCTGTGTCATAGGGTAATGATTTATGAAACCTTGTAAAAAGTCTACAAGTAAAAGTCCACAAGGCATTGTTACATGCCAAACATCTCAGCTCTACGTATCATACTAGTATGATACATATTATCTTTCACACTAGAAGACATACATGAGCTTTCCCGTGTTCTATGTCAATGTAGACTTCAGGTACATTATTTATTTCACTAATGTAGAAGGACAAGGTGCAACATGCCATATACCTATGCTTCTGGCACTATAATAAAGAAAAAAAAATGTTTACTTTTTTCTAATGTAACTACATGTCAAATATTTACTTTATAGTGTACTTATAAGGGCCAAAATGTGTTAGGTCATTTGTGGTCTTATGGGCATCATTGGAAATTAAAAAGGTGTTCAGGCATTCTAGGCACTGTTATGTAATAAATAAATAAGCTCTTACCTATATAAGTCAACATGAACTAAGTGGCCCCGAAGTGGGGCCAAAATAGACCCAGGGGCATAACTTTTGTAATGAACTACAAGATGCTATATGACAATGCCCACACTTTAGCATTTCGAAAAGTATTTGTGATTAATTTCAAGGACTTCATGTTATAATTTTATGTTAGCTCATGTGACCGAGTTATGAATCAAACTGTAATCATTAATTCCACTTACAGGTTCACTTATGGATCATTCGGGACATTGAAAAGAAAACAACAACTCAGTATTATCATAAAGATAACTTATTATATTTTAACACTGAAATACATTACAGTTAGATTGTGTTAAATCTTTTAATATTGACCAACGCATAATTTGATGAATTATCTGTTAACATTCTAGATCACTTTCTGTAGGCGAAGGATATTTATAATTATCAATGTGCTGCAAAATTTAACATGCAATGTCGACGTCTATTGATTTCAAATAACAAGATGCATTAAAATAAACACTTGATCACAATGGCATAGTGTGTTAAGATATAAAGAATAGCATAACAAAGAATGAAGCATGTGTCCATCATAAAATACAATGCAGATAAAATAACACGAAAAACTCGTAACACACAGTTTTACATTGTATATAGTTATTGATTTATTAATTTTCATTTCCCCCAGAAAATTGGTGGAGGTACACCATTGTATTTTACTTCACATGCCCAACACTTCCTGTGCTTATGTCTATGTACATGTTGCTTAACCCGTTCAGACTCTTTTTGTTTCTTGCTTTCCTCAAGTTGCAACGTGTCCGTATGTAAATGCTTGTCTTTGCCATTATCGTTATCGTCTCGTATCTCCTCGTCAAGCGGAATTACTTTATTGTTGTCAGTTTCTAAAGCTGGTTCCGACTTGCTGAGACAAATCAAGTATGATGCATAAAATCCTACCACCGTCAGAATACCGAGAAATGTTCCTAGAAATCCAAACCCAATTGAGTTTTCTGCTTTATACTTGTAGCAATGTTGTTGTTTAGCGTGTCCTAGAAAGCAGTTGCAGTCTGAATAATGCATATGTGAGCTTATCTGAAAAGGGAAATGGATGTCATAATTTCTATATTAATCAATTAAAGTGTTTATGCCTGAAAACAAAACAAATGATACAGTTTTCAACAACATAATATAAATATGTCATGCAAATAAATATTAAATAATACCGTTAATAATAATACTGCCAAGGTCAGTATCACACTAATGTTTCAAACCTTAACCAGTTTTACCAAATTTATCAAATGAATTGGATAACTAGGAAAGTTTCCAAAAGTATTTAATGTATTAGACATACTTACTCCCATTATTGATCTTTAATTGTTTTAAAAGAGACAAAACATTGTCTTGACTTTGAAAGAAAATGCCTACCATTAACGATGAGTTTACAAATGATCCGTTTTGTTCGCGATATGCACAATTCTCACCACCCCATCCATCGATACAGTCACATATGAAGTATGTATCATTGTAAGCCTCACATTTTCCATTATTCTTACATGGATTTGAATCACAAGGATTCAGTCCTAAAATTAAAAGCAAGCACGTCTTAAAATAGTAACACTTGTTTCTAATTCTTAATATTGTTTAGGTAGATGTAACGTTAATCAGAATACAGACACAGTTACGAATGTTTGAATTTACTTTCAAAGGTTTACAACTTTTTGTACACATCTTTATTTAAGATTAGAGTTATATAAAATTGTTGTTTACTTTGAAAGGACTTTGCAGTGAAATGCGTACTAAGCTACAATGATGTCATTTATATAAATAGCTATTTCTTATGTTGTATTAACTATATCTGTTTGACAAATCGTGCCTGTAAATCCTGGTAAACATGTACATGAGAATGCCCCAATGAGATCTGCACAGTTACCACCATTCAAACATGGGTCAAACTCGCAGTCGTCTATATCTAAGGAAGTGAATAAAATATATTGAAGACAAAATTGTAATATTTGTTATTCCATTCATACAAAAGTTTTAATTTCTTAATACAGATCTTTAAATGAAATATATTAATCAGCTTTTTCAAGTTGCAAAACGTGGTACATTGATCAATTTAAAAAGGAAAAGATATTCGTTACATAATTCACAATAGAAATAAAATATCGAGACCTATTTCACATTGCTCTCCTGTATAACCATGAACACAACCGCAAAAGAAGCTGTTAATGAGATCAAAACATGTCCCATTGTTGTAGCAAGGTCCACTCTGACACTCATTTATGTCTAGAATAAAATCAAAATATGTTTGATATCTCTCAAAAGTAATAAATAATACCGATATAACAATGACATATATTTTAAGTAAAAGCCATCCAAAATTGTTATAAAATAAAATAGAATTGTGATCTTGAAGTTGTAGCTATCGGCGTAAAATGTTGCACTGTTTATTTAAAAAAAATGTCTGCACCTTGCATTAACATGGATATATTGGACATCACTGATGCTTTAGTGTAAAATAGAGAAAATCACCTTAAAAAGCCCAACACGGCAAAATTGAAAATTCTGCAGGCTCGATTTGATTGAGCATGTTCATGGACGGTACTGGAAAGTGTAAGTTATCGTCCACACCCGCTAGCACCGGCTTTCAACACGAAAATGGTAAAATTTTGAATTTAGAAACACGAACCAGTGATTTTAATTATGCCTAAACCGTTGTTTGATGATATCTATAACACAAGTAAATGGAAACAAACTGTTAATAAATATTTATAACCACAATGGGAACATTATTTAAGTTTGAGGTTTTACATTCCAATTCAAATAAATGGGCAATAAACGTTAAATTTAAGGTTATACCAAAACAAAATACCTATTTCACAAAAGACTCCAGTATATCCTGGCAGACATTCACACGAATAACCATTGATCAGATCATGGCATGTCCCGTTGTTGAAACATGGTGCACTTTGACATTCATCAATGTCTAAGGAAAAAAGCAAAAAATTGATGAATATATAACTGATAGAACAGAATGCTATATGTATGCAGAGCTTAAAATCTGCAGAGCAACACAATTTGGAAGACACTTATTGTGATTGTTTCTGAGAGGTGTTCCTCTTCACAACTTATAACATGCGAAGTCTAACTTTAGGAAAAGTTGATACTTTTGTTGGTCTACAGGGTTCCGTCCAACAGACGTTATACTTTACTTCAATGGGTTTCATACATTTGTATGAATTTCCTTTTAAAACACATACATAAGTCTCAGACAGCATATACATAACTATTAATTCGTGTAAAAAATGAAGTTTTGAAAATAATACTGAACATGATACCGGTATTTCCGTCTACAGATGAACATTACGATTAAACTCATCTCCATGCTTAATAAATATCCTTTATGCTTAAACAACGCTGCAATTAAGCAGTAAAAACTATATACACAATGTACTTATGAAATATATCATTAATACAACCACCTGCCAAATTGTGTACGGCGGTAATTTTCTGTTTATGATAATACATATACATGTATTTCATTGTACAATTTCATTTATCGCCACTCATAATTTAGCATAGAAATATCCGTTTAAAATTATCTTAATTCATAACTTACTTATTTCACAGTATGTCCCAGTAAAGCCAGGGATGCAGGAGCAGCTATATCCGTTCACAGCATCATTACATGTCCCATTATTAAAACAAGGTCTACTGATGCACTCGTCTATATCTACAATGACATGACATGGTGTCAAAGGAGGATCTTTACTTATGGTAGTACCAGAAGGATATGTATAGTAAATGTTAAACTCATGTGCAGCGGTTATTTCTTTAATTAAACTGAGCAAGCAGTTTTCACCTATTTACTTTTTTAGTGTCCAGCATACGTTTTTTATATTTTATTTTTTTTTTCAATTTCCTTGTATAATTTTAATTTTCTGTTTAGAAATGACAATAGCAGATGAATAAAATTCTAAATGTATTTCAACATTGTTTTCACAAAATTTAGACAATATTTACCATTCTATGTGAGGTACAATAAATATAACTGAAATTGACAACAAGATTCAAAATAAATTATCAATACCAAAATCATTTAAATATTTCAAGTATAATACATTAACATTAAATTTGGTATATTTGTATGTTACATTCTCTATTTTAGTCTGCATACTGACAGAATGACAGAAAACATACCAATTTCACAGTTAATTCCCGCAAAGCCAGGTTGACATGTACAAGTGTACTTATTAACTTGGTCAGAACATGTTCCACCATTTTGACAAGGGTTACCTTGACATTCATTTATATCTGCAGAAGATGAAAGCAGGGGATATGGTTTTGAAAAAAAAATTAGATATATATTTTTCCCTTAAATTTAAAATACAATTATGTTAGTATCCCACTTTTATGGATTTATATCTCTTACGTTGTCAGTCATTGAAGTATTCTTGTTCATTATATCTTTATTAATAAAGCCCATACTAGTGTATTATGTTGTTCAAAAGTCATTTTCAGCGACGTGATTATAGTACAATATTTTGTCTCGGGCGTTTTTGAGATGCAAAGTCCATCATATAATGATTGTTCACAAGTATAAGCAGTCTATATTTATTCGTGTATTTCTAATTATTGTAATTGAGAAAAAGAAGCTTACCTATCTGGCAAACAGCACCTTCAAATCCTGCAGGGCATGAACAGTAATAGCCATTTACTATATCAGTACATGTGCCCTTGTTTTGACATGGTCCGCTTATGCATTCATTGATATCTGGAATAAATAAATGGCTCAACATACCTCGTTTAATTCTTGAACACCTTTGTATAAATATATAACAATAAGTTTGTTTTCAAGTGGGTTCAGTTTCACTATTTAGTTTCTATATTAGATTCTTAGAAATGAAAACTCTATCTAATCAGTCAGTTTAATAGGCAAATGTCAATGGTCGTAATATATATGGCTACAGGTCACCAGAAGCTGATAATTATAAATGAAACAAATGCTTATGTCTCTTTATTGTCCATTTTGGTTCAACGATTTATAGAATATATAGTTACATTTCTAACAAATATTTACAATAATATTTAACAAGACAATCAGTTTATTTGGGCATAAACATACCAGTTTCACATAATTTTCCCGTAAAACCAGCGGCACACGTCCTTCTTAGATTATAGCACTTGTTTATAATTAGGTAGATTTGACTCTAATCAGAATACAGACAAAATTATGAATGTTTGAATTTACTTTCAAAGGTCTAACAGCTTTTTGCACACATCTTTATTTAAGATCAGACTTATATACAAAAGTGTTGTTTACTTTGAAAAGAAATTGCAGTGAAGTGCGTACTAAGCGACAAGGCTGTCATTTACATAAATAGCTATTTCTTTTGTTGTATTAACCTGTTCGACAAATTGTTCCTGTGAATCCTGGTAAACATGTACACGAGAATGCCCCTATGAGATCTGCACAGTTACCACCATTCAAACATGGGTCAAACTCGCATTCGTCTATATCTAATGAAATGAAAAAAATGTATTAAAGAAAATTGTAATATTTGTATTTCCATGCATACAGAGGTTCTAATTTCTTAAAACACTTCTTTAAATAAAATATATAAATCAGCTTGGTACATTGATCAATTTAAAAAGGAAAAGATATTCGTTACATAATTCACAATAGAAATAAAATATCGAGACCTATTTCACATTGCTCTCCTGTATAACCATGAACACAACCACAAAAGAAACTGTTAATGAGATCAAAACATGTCCCATCGCTGTAGCAAGGTCCACTCTGACACTCATCTATGTCTAGAATAAAATCAAAATATGTTTGATATCTCTCAAAAGTTATAAAAAATACCGATATAACAATGACATAAATTTTTTGTAAAGGCTATCCAAAATTGTTATAAAATTAAATAGAGTTGTGATCTTGAAGTTGTAGCTATCGGCGTAAAATGTTGCACTGTTTATATACTTTTTAAAAAAAAAATTGTCTGCACCTTGCATTAACATGGATATATTGGACATCATTGATGGTTTAGTGTAAAATAGAGAAAATCACCTTAAAAAGCCCAACACAGCAAAATTGAAAATTCTGCAGGTTCGATGTGATTGAGCATGTTCATGGACGGTACTGGAAAGTGTAAGTTATCGTCCACTCCCGCTAGCACCGGCTTTCAACACGAAAATGGTAACATTTTGAATTTAGAAACACGAACCAGTGGTTTTAATTATGCCTAAAACCGTTATTTGATGATGTCTATAACACAAGTAAATGTAAACAAACTGTTAATAAATAATTTTAACCGCAATAAAAACATTATTGATGTTAGAGGTTTTACTTTCCAATTCAAATAAATTGGCATTAAACGTTAAATTTAATGTTATTCTAAAACAAAATACCTATTTCACAAAATACCCCAGTATATCCTGGCAGACATTCACACAAATAACCATTGATCAGATCATGGCATGTCCCGTTGTTGAAACATGGTGCACTTTGACATTCATCAATGTCTGTGGAAAAAAGCAAAACATTGATGAAAATATAACTGATAGAACAGAATGCTCAATGTACACAGAGCTTAAACTCTGCATTTGGAAGACACATATTGTGGTTGTTTCTGAGATGTGTTCCTCTTCACAAGTTATAACATGCGAAGTCTAACATTAGTAAAAGTTGATACTTTTGTTGGTCTACAGGGCTCCGTCCAACAGAAGTTATACTGTACTTCAATGGGTTTCATACACTTTTATGAATTTCCTTTTAAAACACATACATAAGTCTCAGACAGCATATAAATAACTATTAATTCGTCTAAAATATGAAGTTTTTAAAATAATACTGCACATGACACCGATAGTTTCGTCTATAGATGAACAATACGATTAAATTCATCAACATGCTTAATAAATATCCTTTATGCTTAAACAACGCTGCAACTAAGCAGTAAAATTTTAATTTTATTATATACACAATGTACTTAATAAATTAAATACATCAATGCAATTTCTAATACAACCACATGCCAAATTGTGTATGGCGGTAATCTTCTGTTTATAATAATATATATATATTTCATTGTACAATTTAACGCCGCTCAGAATTGAGCATTGAAATATCCGTTTAAAATTCTCTGAATTCATGTTATTTATAACTTACTTATTTCACAGTATGTGCCAGTAAAGCCAGGAATGCAGGAACAGCTATATCCATTCACAGCATCATTACATGTTCCATTGTTAACACATGGTCTACTGATGCACTCGTCTATATCTACAATGACATAACATAGTGTCAAAGGCGGACCTTTAATTTTGACAGTACCATCAGGATAGGCATAGTAGATTTCACACTCTGGTATAGCGATTATTTCTTTAATGGACTAAATTAAACTGAGCAAGCAGTTTTCACCCATTCATTTTTTAGTTTCAAGCATACGTTTTTTCACATTTTAATTTTTGTTTTCATTTTCCTCGTATAAATTTACATTGCTATTTAGAAATGACAATAGCAGATGAATAAAATTCTAAATGTATTTCAACATTGTTTTCACAAAGTTCAGACAATATTTACGATTTTATGTGAGGTACAATAAATATAACAGAAATTGACAACAAGATTCAAAATAAATTATCAATGCCAAAATCATTTAAATATTTCAAGTATAATACTTAACATTAAATTTGGTATATTTGTATGTTACACTCTCTACTTTAGTTTGCCTACTGACTGAATGACAGAAAACATACCAATTTCACAGTTAATTCCCGCAAATCCAGGTTGACATAAACACGTGTACTTATTAACTTGGTCAGAGCATGTTCCACCATTTTGACACGGGTTACCTTGACATTCATTTATATCTGCAGAAGATTAAACCAGGGTTTATGGTTTTGAAGAAATGTTTTAGATATATATTTTTTCTGAAATTTAAAATACAATTATGTACGCATTCCACCTTTTATAGATTTTTTTTCTCTCTTACGTTGTCAGTCATTGAAGTATTCTTGTTCATTATATCTTTATTAATAATGACAATACTAGTTTATAAAGTTATTCAAAAGGCTTTTTCAGCGACGTGATTATTGGACAATGTTTTGTATCGGGCGTTTTTGAGGTGCAAAATCAATGATCATTTATTAGCAGTTTATACTTATTCAAGTATTTCTAATTATTGAACTTGCGAAAAAGTGGCATACCTATCTGGCAAACTACACCTTCAAATCCTGCAGGGCATGAACAGTAAAAGCCATTTACTATGTCAGTACATGTGCCCTTGTTTTGACATGGTCCGCTTATGCATTCATTGATATCTGGAATAAAAAATGGCTCAACAGACCTCATTTAAGGTAGACCATGGGTAATGCATTACCTCCACTTTGAAGAGTATTCAAATAGGCTAGAATCGCTTGTAAACTACATTGAAATTGAGGGGCGTGGGTTCAAACCCCAGAAGGGGCAACTTTTTTTTTCTTTCTTTTTTTCTTTTTAACATTTTTTATGTATCTCTCTGATCCCTTATGGAAGAAAAAAAGTTTTATTTTAATTATATAATTATTTTAGGTATTTTTTTGGTTAAATAATGCCAAAATTTATAACAAATATGATACCAGATAATTTCAAAGTTCTATAAAATAAAAACTACACGGTAAAAGTATTTTATATTACGCATGATCAACTAATATACCTTTGAAAAAATTTAGGCAAAGTTTGAAAACAGACCCTCATTTCGATAATTTTTAGGGATATTTTGAATAAGGCATTTTAGATAGGGAAATGGTAAAATTAGTGTTAAAAGTGGGTGGGGTAGGGTTACATTTTTATACATTTTAAGAACATTTTGTTTAGAACCAAACATTTTGGTTGTGTAATGTGTTACTTGAATGTTATTATTTGTTTCTTAACAATGAGCAATAGAAAAACATTTTTTATAATGATGATATTACAGATTATTTACAGTTTCCTCATTTCTGAAAATAAGCCTTTCAAATGGCAAGGTCTTAGTTCAGAAATATATCCATAACTCATAAACCACACGGTAAATTTTATTTAAATTTTGCATACAGGTGACCTTTAAGACATATAACTGTCCTATGTTGTCAATTTTACAGTTATTTATGGTGCCCATTACCCATGGTCTACCTTAATACTTGAGTTACCTTTTTGCAACACGTTTGTGTAAAGTAAATAAATCACAATAAGTTTGTTTGCAAGTGAGTCGAGATCCCTTCTTAAGTTTGATAATGTAGTATCTATATTAGATTCAAAGAAATGATTAACTCTATCTAATCAGTCAGTTGAACAGGCAAAAGTCTATGATCATAATATACATGTATATGTGTCTGCAGGTCACCAGAAGCTGATAATTATAAATGAAATAATTGTTTCGATCTCTTATTTGTGCATTTTGGTTCAAAGTTTTATAGTGTATATACTTTACATTACTAACAAATAATTACTGAAATGTTATTTGTGCATAAACATACCAGTTTCACATAATCTCCCCGTAAAACCAGCGGCACACATGCATGTAAAAGTGTCTGAAATACCAACCCGGGAACATGTGCCACAGTTTTGACAAGGATCACTGTCACAAGGATTTACATCTGTAATAAAACAAGTGACTTAATTCCTTTATCAGATAAGAAAAATGCAATATGTATTATAATACTTTTTTCCGTTAAGGTTAAAATGACCTTAGTTTCTCCACATCTTATCAAATCAGTGCCTTAAATATAACATGACGATTAAATTTCGTAAATCGCTCTCGTTATCTAATAAGTCATAAATCTCGTCAACAATTTATATAGTGTAATGCACTTACCCCATGTAGATATTATTACACATCGTGTATCACTACTAATTCTGTAAAAACAATAGGGATAAGGTTTCTAAACGTAGCAAATTTTAAATCATTATCAAGGCGAGCACTGAGATAGGAATAAAAATACTCAAATTTATATACTACTTAACAATTGAGGATTAAACATTCAATGTTATTAGTTAATCTTATTCAATATATTTTAATTATCTAAATTATAAGCTAAATACAACTTATACAGTAGTGGTTATTTGTCTTACTCATAGGTGTCCGTAGCCTCTATGCATAGTGAATGTGAACCTTTATCAGCAGGTGTTGGTGCCCAGGTCAAATCAACTGAATACACTTGGGGTGAATGGGTTAATTGGCGTATTGATGATTTTTGCAATCCAGGAGGTCCGAATGACTGAAATTCCTTAATGCTAATAAAATGATAATACACGAGGTTAAATAGTATATGATCAACTTACAACAAAACATAATAATTTAAAACATTTTATATATGAACTCTAAAACGGCTAGATTAAAAATGAACAACAACATATGAAAATTCTATCTTGAATATCTCAAATGAATTTCGTCTTTCCTTTTTGCATTTCTACATAAATCGTGTATTTATGTGGAGAGGTTCTTATATAAGTCTAAAAATTATCATGACTTTTATTCCAAGGAAACCTGAATCAACTCTATATTTACCTGGACCCTTTAGATGTAGCATAAATACTGAGGAAGAGTGATTTCCCTTGTTTTACAACAATGACTTCACCTTCCACGGGTGTAGGGTATACAAAAACAGGTTTGTCCAAACATGATCGAGACTGAATATCAGGTGTGTTGACCAGGAACTAAAACATTCCAAACCATTAAGAACGATATACTTTCCTGCTTTAATTTCTGAACATTTCAAAGGAAATAAATAGTTCTTCCTTATTTAAATCTAAATAAAGTATTTCTACAAACATAATTTACTGCTAAATATACAAATCGTTTAAACTTAGATAAGAATAGACAATCACACCTACCATGTGTCTGTTTTTTCTTCTTCATACAAATACAATGATGATTTAATTGATAAACGCAAATATATGAGTGTGTCATTACTTTCAAAAGCAAGCAACTTTGAAGTTATTTTTACACAAATTCATATACTAAGAAAGTTATGCTTACCATTTAAAAAAAAAAAAAAAAAAAAAAAAAAAAAAAAAAAATCAATACTTAAAAAATAAATTAATAAATAGATAAATTAAAAAAAAACCCAAACAAACAACAAATATTGGACCCTTTAAAATGATATGCTTCTTTTATGTTTTATTAAAGGTAATATAATTTAAACTTACTTGAACTGGAACACTTGACAAAACATCTTTAGTTGTAAAGGATTCACCACCTAAAGTTATTGTATTTCTGGGCATGTCTTCTACCATCACAGCGACGGCATACATATCACCCTTGTTTCCTATAGCTCTGATGGTCAGTGTACATTTGTTCTAATGATATTAAAATAAATAGTTTTATCTTTATTGCTTTAAAGATGAAAAAATATTTTGTCCTGCAGCAATTTATAAGAATCAGCTGACAGTTGTTTTGATGAATAACCATATGACTAGTATGAGGCTTTCTGTCACATCGATCAATTTAATCTTTTAATATATGGAATTTCTCCTTTTATTAGCAACTAATAATATTCACCAAGGAATTATTACTTTCTCAAATAGAACATTAAGGATAAAAATTAGTTAGATTTATTACTGAAATGATATTTTTGATAATCTCTTTACATATCTCTACAATTATATGTATGTACCGTTAATGAGGAACTGAACAAAGGAAGTATAAGATATCAACATACCCCGTCTAAGACTGTATTTGGAATTCTTGAACAGGCACCGCTGCACTCATTTCCTACAGCCCATCTACATCTAACATTGTCTCCATCTCTGTCTAACACCGGTATCTTTATTGTCTGTGTGCACCCATGTTTAATCCTAAACATTGAGATGGATGATTTAGAGAGGTAGACGTTCCCCTCGACAACACTTAGTCGCACAGGACCAAATAAGATGCGCCCAGTAGAACACTGATAAAAAACGTGTTAAGAACGGCAACGGCAATGAATGGCATCAAGGCAGAGGCAAGGATGGGGCCTTTCATTTTTAAATAAAATATTACCAAAATGAGATAAGCTATGTATACCATTTATAACTCACTTAACTTAACTTCACTACTATTGTGACTAATACATGTTATGTGTTCCAACGATAAAATATTATCTGCTTGTTAAGTGCATTTAACAAAACAATTGAAACGAAAATGTATATTTGATAATAAAGTAATAAATTACACAACTCACGTGTATAAAGGTTTTGACGCGGCGACAGGGCTAGTGTTTGGGGCTTTCAAGTCAGATCGTGTGCGTAAATCTATTGTGGTTGGAACGCTGATGCCAGATGAACCTGTCCCGTAATCCAAATCTATCCAGCAACAATCTGAAAAGCTAAATCGGTAGACAAAAGAATGATAAAAATATTCACATAAATTTAGCTTTACCATATTTTATTGCCTGTATACATGCAACTATACTCACAAATGAACACTAAACAAAAGCAAATGGGTTGGTAATATTACATTAAGACCTTTTTCAGTGTGTTTCGCTGATGTTCAATTCTTCTATACGTGTGTATTCCTTAGCTACGTGATAGGCTGTTGCATAATAGATTCTGATGAGTAAATACGCTTATCAATGAAGCCCATCGGAAAGGGACTTGTAAGGTTTGATTATACAAATTCCTCAATCAAAGTGATCAATATAATTATCATCATTTTATAAAATTAAGTTGAACCATTCAAATAAACCATACAAGTCGTGACACCATGTCCGATATTTAATAACGGAAAAAGGAAATGGTTCGTAAAACAACTAAACTTTGGCTATAAATTTTGCATGTTTACAGGCCATCACAATGTCAGTGCTAAAATAGTAGTTAAACTCGTAAATTCATTAACAACTATTCACCGTCTGCAATCAAATGTTCGTGTTTTCAAAATTATAGAGGTATTTGTATAATCATTAATCATATCAAAGCTTCAAATGATTTTACCAACCTTACGGTGAATTTTTCGTCTGAACTAAACGTATGTTTAAATGAGTATTCCCCTAGTTCCCAGTCCTGTGCGCTACTCGCGGCTATACACGTATATCCCTTTGACGACAATGTAACTGATCCAAATCCACATCCGGAGGTACAGATCCAGGGGAAAGGAATTCTATCAACATAAGAACCAACTAGCGAAGTAGTACAGCCGGCACCGCGACCGAATCTCCATCCAAGTTTATACGTGAACTCGACCTAAAATAACGATAGGTCTTTTTATCACTTTATAACCCCTAGTAAAGGTGAAAAACACTTATAAAACGATGGTAAAGTAAAATGAAAAAAAGAAGGAAGGAAAGAAAGAAAGAAAGAAAGAAAGAAAGAAAGAAAGAAAGAACTAAAAAGCATTACTTCTCGACCGTTTCCGGTTGGTTTCCAACTAATTGTACCTCCACGGAAATGATCAGCTTGGCATGTAACAATTAAAAAAATTGCAAGAAAAAACGGATGTTTCATAGATCTGTCCATGACGAAAGTTAACAAGTAAAATGTTTTAAAGAAAACTTGTATTCCTTTTATATCAAACTACATTTATAAGGTAGTAAATTACATTTTGTTTCTTGGCAGATAGGCAATCACGTAGGAAAATGCCCATAGATATCAGAGAAAAACTTGCAAATACGCACACGTAAATATAATATCTTTTTATAAACTGTTTAATGATTTGTTAATTTCTTGTCCATTCGGAATAAAATAAACAAGAATAAATTGAAAACGCTTATCGCTACACGTCACAAAGCAAGATATATGTTTTTCATTGTTGCAGTTGCATTGTAAAGAGAAGTTGAATAACTGATTTAAGGGTTAAACAAATACATCTTAACTTCTTTATGAATCGTTCAATGACGCTCAATGTCATTCATAACGGGGAATATGATAAGTACACATAAATTATGCGCAACATTATTCTTAATAACTATACTGGAATAATATTTTTCTAACCATTTATTTTTTGTAATCCCTTTGTAATTGCTTCTTCGGTAAGATAAGGACTGAATTAGATTAGGCATGGCAAACGGTGGCATACTCCTACGTGACTACCTCTTCTTATTGTATAGGCACTATTGAGGTACCTTGATGTAAAAGCCTTTTTTTGTGTGTTAACTTGCTAGACAATTCAACGTTATTAATCATATGCATGTAAACGCACTTGCTTAATTTTTGCATCAATTTATAAAAATGTGTTTTATGTGTACTGTGCAATCGTACAAAAGTTTTATAAGCAAATATCATTTAGCATAAAAAATATCATATTAATAGACTTAGGTTTGTTTTAAAATTTAGTATATTTTTATTTAGATTACAGAGTTACTCTAAGAAGAATTTTGTCGTATCTTATCTTAGTTTTATATACATTTTTGAAATCTAAAATAATTGTGTACGTTTGTTACGGTTTTAGAGAAACAAAGTCTTGACAAAAACTGTATAATATTATTATTATACGTCCGTTTAAATTTAAAAACGGGAAAACTCGACAAACAAAGTACATCGGCGTACAAGGCGTGCGGCCTTAAAGGACTGTCTGCTAATTTCCGAAGCTTATCTTTTACATTTATGAAGCGGTTTAAGTATAAGTCACATGCACAGGTCCAATGCCAGATAAGAAAAATAAAATGTTAGAAACTGGGGGGTGTTTAATGTATATATGCACTTTTGTGACACTGCGCATTGTCACGGGTGCATTATGTAACCAAAAGGTACTCTTGTTTACATACAAATTCATATTTTGAATTAATTGTTTCACTAAATTTGCCTTACAAATCATCATAACGAATCATATCATATCAATAAGGTAAATCTAGCATGTGGTAATAAACATAATAGAAAAAATGAATAAACACGGAAGTTTCTCAGTTCACACTTATGTTGTATAATGACAAAGCTATTTTCCTTAAATGGAACTTGAACAACATCCTTACAGCCAATATCCGTGCTTAACCGGCCATAATATTTTTACCATTTATTGTCAAATGAGTCCACACGTCATCTTAATACATTACTTTTTTGCCTGTCAAGAACCTCACATTTGCATTTGGATTGTTTATGACTAGATATATTAAAGAACATTGATACATAATAAAATCGAGTACGCAGGACAAAGAAAAGTATCAAAGTTGCTTATTTTGAAATACCCTTTGGTATTCTAAATCCTTAAAGATATATCATGCTCAATTTGTATATTTGAGAAATACTGATTATTGCTACACAGTCTCTTAAGATAAAAATCAGCAAAGAACATGCAGAGAAGATATGTTACATTTTTAACTTTACACTTTGTAGATAAACATATGCAGCCCTTTTAAGATAAGACCAAATCAACTTGCCCAAAGGTGCCCGTTCGTGCTTGAAATAATAACGGAAGGGCACCTGAGGTCTTCCTTCACCAGTAAAGCTGGAACGTCGCGATATGACCTATTCTGTGTCGATGTGACGTAAAACCCAAAGCAAACAAACAAACCAACTTGCCCAAAATTGTGATAGTGATGAAATACCGAGTCACACTTTATTGTCACGCATGTTTGATGAAACAAACACACAAACAGCATGTTTGATGAATTTATTACTTTCACAGATGAAGTACATGTCAATTAAATATTATCATGCATGCTGAATATCATTGTATGTTATGGTTGGTCTTCAAAGTATATGAAAAAATAAAATTCAATAATAATGATAAGTATTTGGAAAATTATTATACATCATTATCAGATAGAAATGAATTTTCCACATAACAATTCAAAATTTAACTTGTTTTCCATTTATTATTCTTCATACAATATATTGTTCGCAACAACAAAAGAAGATACATGTATATATTTTATCTTTAACTGTAAATCACCAATCAAATCAATACATCATCATCTACTGGTCTAAATAATCTTGAACTTGTCGACATAAACAATAAAACCAAAAGATAACACATTTGTGATTCATATCAGACATACAGATTACTATATCATTAAATCAATTAAATCATATAAACAAACAAAAGATTACAAAACTTTACACTCAAATCGAGATAAGAATAGAACGAAAATACAATTTTCAATTTATCATTGTATAAATTGCTGAAATACATTTTGCATATTTTTTTGTTTAAGTGTCCAGCTGATCTATGTTTTAATCCTATTGACTTCGGTTGTGGTTCTTGAATCAATCAGCCAATGACAGTCATAAGACTGATACACAGATTTGAAACAAAATAAAAAGAGTGCAAAGTTCAGATACTTTCAAAGCAAATAAATACACTGCAAACACTTGAATAATGTATGAAGATAAATATGTTTTATTTGTTTCATAGAAATTGTAGGAAACATTTTTATGTACATATAAATCTATTTTGTGATCACATTTAACACAAGTCAAATTCAAGCAAATTGAAACAAAATGCGTTTTATTTCAAGCATAGGATTATAATGTATAACGATTATAGTTTGATTAAGGAACCTGCATTATGTTTATATTACATATTTTAATATTAAGATTAGAAGAAATGAGAGAAGTTTTGGGTGAACCATAGGGCAATGAAAGACAAAATCTGATGATAAAATTGTATATCCAAGTACATATATATATTTGATAAACAAATACCTTTTTAAATATTACATTGTCCGTGAACGACGATAACCAAGATTATGATTCGAAGCATTTAATCCTTTGCATTACATGCCGCACTAACTAATGCTAAGTGTCGCGTTTCATTATAAGACAGTTAATAAACTTCATGAATATAATGTATATCAATGACTACGACTTGCAAATGACTGTAAAACATCAGCAAAACAACACTCTTTTATTTCATATTTTATGCTTTGATTAAACAGCAACCTCAGATCAAATATTCACTGTGTAAATGTGGCGCATAATGTAAATTTATTTCTTCACTAAAGAATTTGACTTCCTTCAAAACTGCGCATCATCAGAAAAATAGCACTTTCCATGTTTGCATCTTTTCTGAAAAAGTAATTTGTATTGATTTATATCACGTACTTAAGGGGATAACAGTGAATAAAAGTGTTTTATTTTAGTTACAACCTAGTAAAATTTACCATTTGCAGATATAAATAACTAAAGTTTGTCCGTACGGGCGGTACTACAATTTTTTGTAGGTCAGCTAATGTAATCTCGAGAGATATGTCATTTTCCGCTTATACACAAGGAAAGTAAAATCAGATTATTGTAAAATTTAATCATTTAAAATAATGGCGTTTAATGATAAAAAGGGTTGAGTAATGTTTTTGTTAATTGATGCATGACATGTGTTATACTTACCAAAGCATTCCATTTACAATTTGCAATGGTTATCTAAACAGCGTCATTAGTAGTATGTTCATATATAACTGCACCTAAAGAGAGAGAAAGATGAAAGTCTATTTGTGTTGTCTCAAACTGTAAACTATTGCAAATGAAGTAAAATATCTTAATTATTATTTAGACGTTCTAACGGTCGTAATTTACAATTCGTTATAACCTTTCAACGTTCGATATTAACAATCGATAAAGCTGGTTAAAAGTACACAAAACGTTGTAATATTTTTAACAAAATAAAAATTTTATAGCAAAGATTAATCAGAATCGTCTGAGGTACAACTCCACCATGTGTGGGTTCGAATTCAGCCAGAGATTATGGAATTAAATTCTAAGAGGAAGCAAACTAAACGGCTATCTAACGGTGCGTTGATGGTTCTACCCAGGTACCACGCGGGTCTTATATAATTCATGGAGGAAAACTCGATGTCTTCCACTTCAGTAAAACTGATAAATTAAACGGCCTGACTTAAAACAAAACAATTAAAAAGAAAGAGAAAAAAATAAAACAAAAAGTGATCCGAGATTCCTATGTTTAATATTGAGAAATCATCGGATTTATCAAGTTTGGAATATCGAATACATGGATAGTTGCCGAATACCTTTTACTGCTGCTGTGCTTGCTTTATCTGGAAAGATCAAATTCATCCTATGAAATGAGTGCCGTAATTCGTTTCTTATTATGTCGGGATCGGCTAATCCTCCAATAAAAACGATTGTCATTACATCTCTAAGTTCGGATTCCTTCAAAAGGTCCCTCAAACGATCAACCAATTTTTTCTTTGACCCGTTGAACAAATCTATTACAGTTTCATTGCTGAAATAGATTCTACTTCCTTTAGATGGTACATGCACTGTTTGTGCAAGACTTTCCCGTCTGTCAGAAAATTTGAATCCATTTATCTCTTTGAATGTGTGTAAAAGGCTGGACGGAATCTTCAGCGGAGTTATATAATCTTCCTTTTCATTCTCAAGATCCTTTCGAAGTGTCTTCATCATTTCCATCGTGTCTTTTAGTTCAAGGGCATCGAGCTTATAGCCTTCTCTGAATTTCGATAATACATCACGACCAAATATTTCTTCTAACATTAACTCCAGCTTTTCATTCACTAACTGCCCCGCTCCTGACCAGTAAAACTGAGATTTTGTCTCAATTTCCGCTATACTGCCATCCATTTCTAGCTTTAAAAACGTCACACTGAATGTATTATCTACAAAAATGTTAAACAAACTCTCTATGAACATTTTTAATTCAATTACATATTAATGTAAAAACTTGAAATTGGATCTTTTAACATAATGTTATATGTATACTATAAGTAATTATGATAAAGATTCAAGACAGGTTACTTTTGCATATATATAAAGCCTTAAGGTATTAGCACCCTAATGCATCACCTCCGCATTGAAGAGTATTCAAATAGGCTAGAACTACTGTTAACTACATTGAAAATGAGGGCCATGGGTTCAATCCCCAGAAGGGTCAACTTTTTTTTTTCTTTCTTTTTTTCTTTTAACATTATTTATGTATCTCTCATATCCCATTTGGAAAGAAAACAGTGTTTAATTTTGATTTTTTAATTTATATAGGTATTTATTGGCTAAATTATGCTAAATCTAGTAATAAATATGGTACCTGATATTTTCAAAGTGTAATATAATCAAAACTAGACGGTAAAAGTATTTCATATTTTACAAGATCAACCAATATACTTTTTTAAAAATTTAGGGAAACTTTGAAAACAGGCACTCATTTGGGTAAATTTTAAGAATTTTTTAAATTAGGCTCCCCTAAGTAGAAAAATGGTCAGACACGTGGTAAAAATGGGTTGGGTAGGGTAACATTTTTATACAGATTTCATAAATTTTTAGTAGAAACCATAATTTTGCTTATGTGGATTGTTAGCTGAATGATACTTTTTGTTTCTTACCAAAAATTAATGGGAAAACATTTTTCATTAGAATGTAATTGCAGATTATTTAAAGGTTCCTCATTTCTGAAAAAAAAAGCCCTCATAACATCCTAGCTTGAGTTCAGAAAATTGGCCATAACTTGATTTCCGTACGGTAAACTTTGTTTAAATTTTGCATACAGGTGTACTTTAAGGTATACATCTGACCTATGATGTCAATTTTTTAGTTCCTGATAGTGCCCATTAGGGTCCTAATACCTTAAGTCGCTAGGCAATATGAAGAAGTTTTTCTTTATTGATTGACTGCTGTCAACAAACGTCATAATCGCCCAAAGTAAAGCGTCGTTACAAACTTGTAGTATCATAAAATTATAAATACATGTATATAAACGATGCATTGTCACATACGTACACCATATCAACATGTAAACATAAAAGCTGTCAGCCACATGTAATTATCTAATCACATTTCATATTCTCAACTGTATCTATCATTCTATATGTTTAATAAAAGTAAAAGAAATACAAGATTTATTTTGTTATTGTATTGAAATTTCATCTTACAGCCAGCATCTACAACAATGAATCTTTCTCCAAGCTTGATCCATTGCATAGTCGTTACAAACCGACGCTGTGTGTCTTTTGTTGCTTTCAGTTCCTTGCAATAAAGTGTTGCTGCCTCAGGTTTTAGTACAAATGAAATTAGCTCTTTTTCATCTTTTGCCTTACAAAATAAAAATTTATTTAATCAGAAATAGTACAAAATTATGCAAAGATTTTCTAGATGTTCAAAGAATAAGTTAAACAGAGTTATTACTCCACTTAATAATATATTTTGTTGAAATTTTACATCTTTAAAATGAAATATTCACCCTATTGGCCACCTCCTTGAGAAACATTGTTTCACTTTCATGCGATGGAACTGTCAAAATCCAGTGAATGTCGTGTGGTTTCAATTCAGTTAGCTTAGTTTTCAGATATCTAAACATTTGACTCTTCAGGCACATCACAACCGCAACGTAAACATCCATAGCAGCCATCGGTTTGGTTTGATCATCTTTGACTGCATACTCCTATTCATATATAGTAAACATTCATGTAAATTCATATTATTTACAATCATAGTATTTCTTTACCATAACATGCACACATTTGTAAGTAGTGTCAAAATAGTTCAATCATTTAAAAGTTTCGAATGAATAAAATTTTTTAAAAAGTACAATACGAAAAACTGTAAGAGAGATGCTTTGAAAAAATGTATTGCTTTGTTTTTCTGTTTCTAACATACACTGTTTTGTTTCTCAGTTAATGACAAGTCTCTGAAAATTCGCCATAGACAAGTTGTACCACCTTCTTCTGCCTGTTCTAGTAACTCAGCATACTTAATTTCAGCCTGCAAAAATGACGTACTATTTTACGATAGTAAAAAGTATATGTTTATGAGTAACACTACTACTACTACTCGTATTGCAAATTTTATTTGTGTTTGTTAATTGCGCTTTAATATAGAAGATATTAAATGAAAAAAGATTAAACAAGAGCCATGTTAAAATGGCCATCCCCCGGCAATTTGTGTGTTCATTGGAAGAATGTATATGTAGTAGAGCAGAATAATTCAATATTAAGAGGACTTTTGGTAATGAAAACTGATGGCTGAAGTGGTTACAGATTTGAAACCTATGTGTATGGCTGAAAATGACAAAGGGCAATAACTGAAAAATAATGCAGGGTAGGTTTTTATTCTGCTGTACTGCACTCCTCTTAAATGAGACCTATCCACCTATGGATTTCAAGTTGAAACCTCTAACACTTTTTGAGATAAGCTCCGGACAAAAAGTATGAAAGATAACAGAGAGCAATAACTCAAAAATAATGAAGGGTAGAGTTATCACTCTTGTGCATTGCACATCTCCTGAGTGAGATCTATCCACCTATGAAGTTTTATGTTGATATCTCAAAGGCTTTTTGAGTTATGCTCTGGACAAAAATTAAGTTTGAAAGATAACAAAAGGCAATAACTTTAAAAATAATATGCAGGGAAGAGCTATCATTTTTTGTGCACTGCATTCCTACTCAATATGATCTATCCACCTATGAAGTTTCAAGTTAATACCTCAAACACTTTTTCAGATATGCCCCGGACAAAAATGTCGGATAGAAAGACGGACGGCGACTATTTCTATATCCCCAGCCGCCTTTCGGCGGGGGATAAAAAATAAATGCATGTCTTCATCTACATGCTTATACTGTTACACGTTTATCTAGCTTGACTATAAAACGCTATGTTTGTAAAACACATATGCTGTTAAATGCATATGTCGGTGGTGCAATATAAAGCCGTTTTACGCGCTAAGAATAGCTAAACATGATAGTGATAAATACAGTTATAATACATACAACATAAATGACTGTTACAACATATAATTAACAACAACATACCTCGTATCCGAATGAATGAAATTTACCATTATCATCAAAAAGAGCCACAGTCGATACTTTATCAGTTTGAATCCCTGTGCTATTTGTCCAGTCGTGATATACGTGTATCTTCAATGCATTCGAAAAAAGTAATTTAGCCATTTGTTTTTGTATCACAATATAAAAATAATAATTATAAATAATAAGCCTGAATATTTAACTCATCATTAATAAGCATTCATGATCAAGATTTGTACCATTCAAATCATACTATTTTATTTTACTTTATTTGTTAAGACATTCTGTGGCAGAAGGCTATATAACTATCATGACAAATATCAATGAAAATTAATCGTACATTTAAATGATCTCTTTTGAAATCAGCTCCAAACGAATACGCCATAGCGGTGAATTTGCTCCCAATATCTATCGCTGCAACAATCATTTTTTCTGACGTTTTATACACATGTGTTTCTTCATTTTCTATATTTTCTATTGTATCGGATTCATTATCAGTGCGAACTTGTTGTTCCAAGTCTTGAATATCATCAGTTCCAGGTGAATGTACAAGTCCTTCGGATCGGATGGCGGTATCACTCTGTTGCACTTTTGAATAAAACATTTACAAATGTATTACCAATATATTAGATGATATCTGAACAGTTTGTGACTGATTTTTCACAATAGTAATAGGCAAATGATTGATAAAAAAAACTATCACATTATAAACTATTGATGTAAACATAAACATTACACAGTTATTTATTAATGAACTTAAGTTGATAAATGACGTCTAATAAAACACTTTTTATGCGAAGAATTGGATTGTCGGAAAATGTCACCAAAATAGTTAAAAAAATGTGACTACTTCTGAACATTATAAAGTCGTACGGTTAGTGTAGCTGATACATGGTTATCAGACAGTAAATCTGGAAAACTGACAAACGATCACTATGCAGTAAGTTTCGATTCCGCTATTGAAAAAACTGCCACCTATTTAAAAGACGATGCACTTATCAACTTTTCAATAACATAACTCAATATGTAATTAAAAGTTTTGAAATACATTCTCTCATTATTAAAGAAACTGATATAAGAATGATTAATAACTTTTCAACCCTTAAATCCAAAGAAAATATAGAATTTTTAAAAAGAATAAGTCCATGTTCCATTTTCAAGGGAATCCGTTGTTAAAAATACATCTATTGACATTGATTTTGATAATGCATTTTTACAGCTAGAAAAATAACTTGTTTTATTCATAACATCGAATAGCTATATGTAACAATACCTTCGTCATCTTGTACTTTATCACTGTCCACGTCTGCATGAGAATGAACAGTATCTGTAAAATGAGGATCCCCGCTGACCAAGCATTCTTCCTCTTCGTCATGTTTCGATTCACTGTCCTTATCTGTATCTGTTTCTTTTAATCAATTAGAATGAAATTTTAGTCCAATTTTCTTCAAAACAAATAAAATGTTTAGTTATTCTGTTAGTCTGTTTCAAGTGATAGTTATACTGTTAGTTTTTCGTCATTGAACCCGAAAAAGTATATATATGCGATTAAGCATTTGTTGAGCATTAATTGTTCAATCTCTACTTTGCATATCTTATTTTTGTGTTCAAATTTAAATCGTTCATGTATACAAGTGATGTATACTTAAGATGGATACTCATTAAGAAAAGTATAACGACTTGTATTCACTTTTAATTATTCTGCAAGTACTGCCGATCCCTTCTCATAAATGTTAATTTAACATGGTACGTATTATAACTATATTATATTGTGTTCCTTAACATTGCGCCGGAATAATCAGTAAAAAATACCCTTACCAATCTTGTTTTCAATGTCCTGCAAGCATTCCGTCGTTATTTCAGAGTAAGCTGTAAATGGTTTTGCACATTTTATGTACAAATCCACAGCCTCTGCTAGACTGTTCAGTTGCTTTCGATACTGTTCGCTAGTCGTGTACTTCAGTAATTCATAAACGCTGCTATAAGTGTCACATTGGAGACTTATGATGATGCATTCGGGTTTAGTAGACAGAACTTCTACTCCTTCCATTTCGTCAAGGTGTTTTAGGATATCATCAACCGCACGCTCAATTTCCACCATATTCTCTGTATTTTTAACCTTCGCAATGGCTCTATTGATTACCTTTAAAACTATTTTGTCTGCGAGGTCGACAATTGGTTCTTCGTTCCCGCTAAATGTCAGTCTTGTATTTACAACTTCAAATAGACATGTACAATAATATGATATATTTTTGTCATAATAACACAATGTAAAATAAGATTCTTATGCAAATGACCCTAATATATCAAACGATGCGTTTGTCTGCTATATCTCTTTCACTCAATGTTTACGAAGGTTCATATATGTCTTTGTCTAAAACGTTTATTCTTTATTTTGATTAAAGGAATAATGATACCCTTTTTCTTTTGCATGTTGTTTTTCAAACATTTTCTAATATACCTAGTTTACTTTTAACTTGATCACATATTTTTCAATTAAGTGTTTGTTTTTACTTACTCATTCTTATTTTTTTGAAAGGATCAGCAGCCATTTTTTTCTCCAGCCGTTCTAAAACTAAATACAAAAATAGTGCATTAAGATTTAATGTATACATGTATTAACTTATCATCGCAAACTTTGATATTTATTTAAACATTTGAAAAGTCTTTTCATGTGTTATTGTTATTATTTATATATCAATCGTTTGTAATTGTGCAAAATCATCAATTAAATATGGCTATATGGTAAACACACGTTGATCATTGCTAATGAATTTATTACATTGTAAAATAAACAAGAGGTAATGTAAACATGTACCACATTCCAAACGCATTTTTTTACCTAAGTTTATTCCTTGGATATCCGATCGTATGTTTATTTCGCTTTTCCTTATAGTATCAGAAAGATTCTTCTCTGCCGACTCAATGCTGTCTAATATCTTGCTTATCAATGGCTCCGTCGCATTTAAATATTTTAACTTTTCAATTGAAGTCGTCACTTCCAAAGGACATGTTTTGTATTTATCAAATGTTTCTCTACATTTTTCTTGTATGCTATCCTCAAAATCAGATGCAATTGTTGTAATAGCATCATTTAGCTCTTCTACAAAGTTATTGTAATCTTCCTCACAAAATTCTGCCGAAGAACTGTGTGCTAGCATAATTCTCCGCCGCTTAATTTCTCTTACGCTTGTCCTATCTTTGGGTTGTAAATCTTGTCCAAATAAAATCATAATAACCCCAGATAGCATCTGAATGTCCCATTTCTTTATATCAGTTTTGCCACTGGCAGGATATAAAATGTCTTGTTGCATTTTATTTCTAAACTCATTTTTCACTTTCTTTTCTTGTCTTGTGTCATTTAGTAGCTCATCTAAAGTGCAATCTTTCCTTTCGAGTTCTCGTTGTATTACTTCCTTAGTTATGTAAGATCCACTATCTGATAGGTATAAGACAGACCGTAGATAACGCTCGTTTCCTACTGTTACCATTTTCTTCTAAAATGTAAAGACATATACAAAAAAGATATTTCTTGACCTAGTATTCAGCACATACATAAATAAGAAAAATCAAAACGTTTCAAATGAAACAATGGAAATAATAGTATACACTGTTTTACAATACGACATTTCCATTGAAACGGAAGTAGCATTTCGAGAATGCTAAATCTGCGTAGGAACAAAAGCAATAACGAAATAACAAATATCAGTAGTAAAAGACTTCACAAACAATTTGATGTAATTTTCATTATTAATCAATAATACAGCATAAATAATCGATAAAATGATTAATTTAATTAACTGACTTCTGCACTAACGCAATTAGGATGGATGTTAATAATCCGAAACACCATGATAAATGATGCATTTAATTTTAAAATTTCTCGGTAAAGTTGTACGAAGAATTGCTTAAATGAGTCCTTACTTTAGCACTGAACTCGTTAATAAGAGGTCGTGAATGCGAAATCTATGGTCAATATTCTCTTTCCTTTTGATAGTTATAGGCTTCAATAAACGTGATTTCAAGTTATTTTACAAGGGAAACAGTATTTTTGCCATAAGTACGTAAAATGTTATTTGATATTTATATCATTTATAAACAAATATGCGGGACTAACAATTCAATGATTCAAAAGCGCATACAAAAGTCCTCTGTTTAGGGTATCATTAGACGACTGTTGTGTGCTCAAAACGGGGAAATAGTTAATAGATTGGTACAAATATCAGTCGATTTTAGATAAGGACAGAGGATTTAAATACAGGCAGATTTTAAAGACAAGTTCTTCCAACTGTTTACACGGCTGAAGGTTACAAATTAATCTACATTAAACTTCCTAGTATTATATACCGTAAAGTTAGTATTTGTCGATGCCAAAATGCCAATTCAATGAACAGAAAGGCGCTTGTAGTAAATTACACTGTTTTGTTAAAAATGACATTGTTTTGACATTCTGTTATTATTTTATCAGTAGGTAACTATAATTTACAATAATAGCATTTAAATGACAGTGAGGCATGCAACTTTTTTTTCTTCAAAATATCACTCTCTTTAAATCCAATTAGAAAAAAAGATTCTTAGTTGTTTTGAGTCAATGAAAGATTTAGTATGCATTCTTTTGTTACAAAATATATAGCTCTAAACAATAGTTTGGAATTGAATTATTTATTTTCTACCAAAAAGAGAATCATAGCCCTACAATACACTTGCGGACCATAATGGTATTTAAGATATAAGACTAATAATAGCTGTCATATGTTGCGATTAGTTTCGGAATATCCGTTCCGAGGGGACCGGCCCATTTGGCTTGTCATGTTAAAATCCAAGGGAGGTTCCAGATATTCCGATCCGAACCGCAAACATATGTCAGATATTTTTTCTTGCATGGTCTACCATATTCCATCTTTTTTTACCTTAAAAAAGCAATTTTCCATAGAAATTTTTGTCATTACACTCGCATCTATTTTCTAACAACAGTGTATTTAATTACAACTGCATTGATAGCGGCAAAAATCCGCCATCCTAGGCATGCAGATTTATTTTCAAATACGTAAAAGTGACGTCATTTTAATGCAGATTAGTGATAAAATGCGCTATTATGATGCGATTGTCTATCACCCTACTCATCTAGTACCCTCATATAAGATGAAATTTCCGGCACGGGTAAAACGAACGGAAACACCAGTCAACTATGCAAGAAAAACAATTCCAACGTCTTTATATATTAATTCTTGGAAAAAGACAAACAATACATCTGTAATGCCTACGAGACAGGAACGGACAAACGGATATACTGACGACGTCATTGTATTATTCTACTGTCACATTATACCAACAGAGACGAAACTGAACAGACAGCATCTAGCTATGAACTTGATAGTACATTTTGTTCACTTTATTAATGTTGCTATTAAAGGTAAAAGTTATGCCCAAACAAATAACATTGATTACTTAAGACATAAAATGAATCAATATGATGTTTTTTTGTTGTTGTTTTTTTTTTTAATTTATAAGATTTGAAAAGCTGATGAAGTCATGAATACATTCATTACACTAGACATAACACGCTAAGCATATATTACTATCGACAACACAGGCTACAAATTTCATTTGATACTAATATTCATATTTTAAGAGACTTTGTATTCTGTAAGTTGGAATACTTAGACAAGGAGATTTACGCTATTAATAACCCAGTTTGTGTGTCGTTATGTTACAGTTGCCGTGCAGGTATTTTGAACATACATTCTATTGTTTATAGAATAAAATGTTTATAGAATAAAAGAATTAGATCAAGCAGATCACTAAACAAATCTTTACATTTTGTACAAAACAATTGGTTCGTGAATCATACTTAAAATAATAGGAGTATTGTAAAAGATACGTTTAAAGTATTGATTGTATTTTATCGTAAAAAAAACACATAAATATATTCTTTGCAATAAATACTTATCTGACATTTTGAATCAATCAAATATTAAAGTCAATATTGAGTCGTTAAATAATTGGATAAGTAACGCATGATTTTAGATTTTGTACTGTTTTTCCCCGGGAAAAGTATTGAATAATTTTGTATAACGAAAATATAGAAATATTCATTATCGCTTTACATTACAACGCCCCATTATGATTTTACGATTTAATATTATAAATCATACAAAAACTGTGTGTCATTGATTCCAGCACTTCATCACGTTAAGTGTGAAAATTGAGTATGCTTTGGCCGGTGCTAGAGAACATGAGTATGCGATCTTCATCTTAGTTGGTTGTAATTAAAAAAAGGGATAACACTATTTCCAACTTTTTTGTTGTAGATAACTTTAAAACAGTTTCACGTTGCAATTGTTGTTACTTAGTAATTTATTCAACCATTTTAGAACAACTACTGCAATGAACTTATTAGTAGCCTTGGTACGTGTTAATTGAATACCGTAGAGATTTTCTCCAGTCGGACGAATTGTGTTTTTTTTTTTTCTCAATCAGCAATGACGTAACAACTGAAAGTTTATCAAAGCTACTTGAAATACGAGGGTTTACTTTATACATGACTCTTCCACAAATTGGAAGGCAATGCAGCGATAAAGGAAGGTCAAAACTAAACTCTGCAAAATTAATGTAGTACAAAACAAGCAGCTTTGTTTTTGTACCTTTTGACCTTGTCCATTTGAAAGGCGGGGTTGTCCGAAAAGATAATAACCGAAGTGAAGATGAGAAAGAACGTGATCGTGTACAAGGATCTCCATAGACGTTTGTAAGAGATGCATTCGGGTCGATTTGTATTGAGATTTCTGAGCTAGATATAAGCAATTCGGCATTTAGTTATGATATGGTGGTCAAAATTCAGGCTACTGCTCATGAATTACACCGATGTCCCTTACCTGATATGTATATACAGACATTAACGCACAAGATGTTAACTTTTGATAATTTGTCCAATTCATGATTATTTCTGTGTTGGAAGTGTTAGGCTAAGTCTTACTTATTATGTTTAAAATAAGTCAACAAGATAGACCTTCAGATACTGTTGACATATCCTTTGGTCTAATCATTTACATTGTATGTATGCTATAAAATGATAATGGTAGCTATTGTACATGGCAATATATCAGAAAAAAGTAATGATCATGTGTCTAAGTCTCGAACGCCTATGCCGACATAGTGTTGGGTATTTGATTTGGTTAAACTGAACTTTAACAATCTTAACCTTTAATTACACTGTCTTTTAATATACATGTATGTGTTGTTTGAATTAACAAGTACACGTTTTAACATCTACACATACAAAATAAGTATAATATACTTACATTTAGTGTTTTTATAATTTTCCTTTTTAACACATTGGCATGGATATGTTACATAAAGCATGTAGCTATATATGTATTCAAACTTCAGTCTATTTTCTTATATTCACAAATATCTCATTTCAAGTCATAATATATTGGAGTAATATTATAATTTTGTTGAAACATTTGTATTAGTCCCTGGTCGTTGAGCTTTCAAACGCTAGGATTTTTTTTCTATGTATTAAATTGGTTATCGATGTCTACTTAAATCATACAACTTTTATAATAATAAGTTATGTACAGTTACAAAAAAGCTGCATAAGATATTTTTATTGCCTAAAATATCACGTTTTAACGTTTACAAATATTATCAATAAAGTTAAATTTATATAATTTGCTTATATTAACCGACTAACCGAGATAAGAAAGACACCGTTTCAGTGCATGTAATCATAAATGTCTAATAAAATAAGCTAAATATCAATGAAATATTTGACCTTGAGTTTTGTTGAAAACATAAGAGCAAATTAATGTAAAGATGGTCTTGCATCGTTTAAAATGAAAGAATCATGTCAAAAAAAAAAAAAAAAAAAAAAAAAACAAACAGAAAAAACAACAACAAAAAAACCCCAAAAAAACAAAATATAGCAAACAAACACACACAATATAATAGTACCATGATGTTATATTCATACTACATCTTTTTGCATATGGATATAGTGACGTAAAACCATAACTAGCGAAATGTCCAACATGAATGAAAAAAAAGATTATTAACTAAGAATGGTAAAGTTATCAAAATGATATAAATGTGCGCGAGGTAAAATAGCTCCTAACTAGACAATTAATAGATTAAGAGGTATTTTTTACCTTAAACTGAAATTCCTTTTAAAACAGCTGACTTCCAGAAGATAGCAGAAAAACTATCGTCTTGCTAATATTTCAAAATATCCCCTCAAAAACATGATATTATTGAAAGAAAACGAAATGACACTTCAAAATGTTCATATTTTAACATTATTGCTTTGAAAACAAACGGGAAATAACTTTTTTCATTATGCCACGGAATTCTTTAATCCGAGTTTTTTTCCTAGTGTACGTGATCGTACAGGACAATATCGTGACCTGTGCTCCGGAACGCACGGAATCCGGGATTTTATCAAACATATAGGGATACCAATAATTGCTTCTGTTTTTATATTTGTAGTAATTTATGGCCCTAAAAATTATAATTGATTAATTATTATAATAGATGATGACCAATTTATCGATTTAACCTTTAGCTTGAAATGTGGTAGGGGTCTACTCAATGACGAAAATTGATAAACGATCCCGGGCATACCTGATACTGGGATTTTCCGGACCACTGTTGTGATACGTGACCGCGTTAAATGAATTATCTTCTCCTATTTATATTCCCTACTGCATTAGTAACTTTGTAGATTATTGAAAAGAAAACCCCGATATATTAATTGACGCTTTTGTCAACATTCTTTCTTGAATTAAGGTGACAGTGATGGTAGATTTATACAATAAACCTAACTAGATCAGTATAAAAAATTTACTGTTTACTTGACATTTTATTTCATGTTTTTTCATTTTACAATCTGGAGGTCAGTGCCCAGCCAGCACGACTATATCGGGCCGATATACGGTTAATGTCGGCATGTCGGCAAAGTGTGCCGATTTGGGGCCGACGTCGGACCGCTGCAGTGCCGACATGCTCAATATTTTGAAAACTTCTAAATGCAATGGTATTGTTTACTTAATTATGTTAATAAATAGTCCTGTGTATGATTTCAATTACTAGAACCACATTAACCACATTTCATGTTACATCAAAAAAAGGACATCGGGTCTGCGTCGGGCCTACATGATAAATAAATGCAACTATTTTGTATATCGGATTGACATCGTTACGATATTGCGTTTTCTGTCACATATCCATATTTTGTTAAATCGTTGAAATATTATGAAATAAATAAATTCCAATGAAACACCGTTGTTCTTTACTTATTATATTTACGTACTGTCTTACTGTCCGTTATTTTGTAGTAGACAAGGGAGGGAATTATGTTAGGTTTATTCCCTCCCTTGATTACCATGCAGCAAATAATTGTACATTTTGATATGAATTTATAAAATAATTTTAGCTGAGTTTTAAAATGATATGTTGTTTGTAATTGAATTCAATATTTATTTTCTAAGCACATAAAAAACACTCTTCAATTATAATTTAAATGCAAATCTGGCAAATATTCACTGCATTTCTACTTTCAACAGAACAAGCGCCAAAAAGCAAATCAAAGGAAGGTGATGAAATTATATATATTTTAAAGTAATGATAATTTATCAAATGTGTAAACATTGTTAATTATTTGATTTTAACACTTTAAGTGATTGGAAAAATATACCATTTATTTTTTTGTCTGATTTTAATGTATAATCAAGGTTGAAAATATTTGTTACATATTTTCGCGACATGCATTAACAGGGCAGTGATAATTTATCATTTGCACATCAAAGTTAGAATGTCGAATCAGAATGTACTAAATATTCGCTTTAATAATCTTATTTTGTAAAAAAAATATGTTTGTGTTTTGCATACTTGCTGTTAATTTTCACTTTCACAGTTTTATTAATGTGTATGTACATGCTTTCCCTTCTACTGGAATACTTAGTCACTGTAAGTTTACTTATTTCCAAAAAGCAACAGATGAAAAAGATGGTTCCAGTAATTGGCCAAAGAGTAACTTTTTGGATACTATAAATACACCAAAATTAAAATGATTATGAGAAATAAAGGCATTTTGGAGGCCTTTTATGTGTTTCGTAAGAATCTAAACAAGTTGATGTTTTTTCCTTATATTTTACAACTGATTAAAGGTTTTTTCCTTATGCCAAAAATGCAAAAATATCCTAAAGTAAAAGATATAAAAAATTTCTATGGAATCTCCTGTGCATTTTACAACATGGTTTTACAGTATTTTTTATTTGAGATATTCGGCCCCTTTCTCATCCGTAGGAGTATAACAAACAACCTATATGGAACAGTGGTTTATTTTCCCTGCATTTGGAATAGTGCCAGTACTTGACGTGGGTTTTACAAATTTACTCAAATTGGGAATTTTACAAAAGATGCAAAATATTCATTAATCTAAGTAAAATATACACTCTTAAACCATGTATGATTTCTTAAGGTTGAAAAAAAAATTGATAAGATTTTATATAAATGATGTTGAAAGTACGAAATGAATTGGGTACGAATATTACTCATGTGGTTATACTTGGTTTTTATTGTAAATCACTAATAAATATGGAGGCATCCATTACTGTTTTTTTTACCTTGAATTTTGCCAATTTTTGTGGTAAATTTCAGTTTTATTTAGGGAGTTTACCAGTCATGATTCAGGATATTTGCTGTTTATTTTCTATTGGGAAGGGTGCCGTTTGCATGTATCAGTTATTTACGGGGGAAAAACGCTGTGGAAAAAACCTTAAGAGAAATTTTAGCAATTCAGAATGTAGTTATGTTTGACCTAATTTATATGTTTTGTTAGGTCTCTTTCTGGAAAGGGAAAGTATGTACATGTACAATCATTAAAAATTGTTGTAAAAGTTTAGATATTAGCAAACAAAACCAAGTCATGAAATAGGTAGATATGTGCTGACATTTTATAGTTAAAGAAAATCACAGCCCTGTATATGTATAAAAAAATCTGCAAATGTGAATCCATTTGTCTAAGCAATAAAGACTTATATTGTAAAATATTGGTACATTTTCATCACTTTCTTTTGAAAGTTTGTTGGAATGTTTGTGTTACTACATTTAGAATGTACGTGCTAGTTGAATTCACTGATGAAAAATGTTTAGCTGTAATTCCGGACAAACGGCGTGATGGAACAAAATGTGCTTTATGGCCAAGCTGGAAGGTATCTTCTAAAATTACTAAAGCTGCAATGAAGAAGATGGAGCCGCAGGATGATTGGCAATCCTTCCCAATCCGTGAATTGTACGAACATGGTAAATTGTGTTAATTTGATTATTTTGATTTACTTTCAACCAGATTTGTATGTTTGTATTTAACTCTTAAAGAAATATATCCTTTTGTGTAAGTAAGGATTATTGCAAATACTGAATACATGTAATTTTAAAAGAAAATTTCAATTGAATCAGGCTTGTCTTAAAAAATGTAAAATTACACTTTCTTTGTCATGCTTATAAATATTGATTGAATTACATTGTTAATATCACATTGTGGTCAAAATTGGCTTAAACTACTTAAGTTAATATATTTAAATTATTGCTGTTGTAGAATCATATGATAAGGTACGAAAGAAGCTGCGTGAAGCAGAAGATGAATCTGACCTAGCAACTGCCTTAGAGGCTAGTGAAGATGAGGCAGATTCATACCGCCGATCAAAGAGAAAAATCAGGTAGCTGTTTTTTCTTGGCTAGAAGTTAATTGTGAAATGTTAAAAAACATTCTCTAGTATCTTTCAGTCACCATCAGTGATGACACTCATAATTATTATAAATTTTTTTATATCATGTAAAAAAATCATGTAGCTTTCAAATGCTCAATGACTAGGGTCATGTAGCTGATATCTGGCCACTTGTAGAATTAATTATACTAAAATAAATGCATATGGAATAGTTATTATACAGTACATTGATTAAAGGTACTGTCAACAACATCCCTACTAAAGTCTTTAAAGCAGCATGCCATCAGAATCATGCTTATTTTCATGAAAATTTTAAAAATGTATTTTAAAGTAAATACTATGAATTGAACAAAGAAGAAATAATTGCAAACGGCAATTACAGTTCATGTAAATTAAAAAAAAAATGATCCAAATATACATAAATACGTCTTTACTCTTACTGCATTAGTAACGTCTACGCATTCGTAACGCAGTAAAAATATAGTGATTGATACTGTTAAATCAGTCATTTATCCAACATAACATGTAAATAATTAAACATTGAATATTTTCCCTTGATTAGAGCATTATTATGTTAAATTAATACAGGGGTTATGTTTTTAACTATTTTAGAAAAACAATATTTTCTTCATCTGATGAAGATGAGGACAGGCATGATTTTACTGCTGTTTCACGCAGTAAGATAACAGAGGAAGGGTCTCAGGAAGAAGTTAAATCTATGCCTTTGACGGTTTCTTCATCATCACCACCGTCTTCCATCTCACCACCGTCTTCCATCTCATCACCACTGTCTTCCATCTCATCACCACTGCCTTCAACAAAATCGCCATCTCTTCCTAAACCACCACCACGTATCCCATTGGCAACAACTCCAAATGTGAAAGTTGGCTCAAAGACGCAAGAAACAGCAGCTCCAGATGCAAGTATGTTTTGGCCTTTCTAGTTATACATACCTTTTTTTTGTATTTATTTTGATAATTAGCTTTGCATTTATGTAATTGAGGTTGACTTCTCTTCATAATTTGCTCCAAAAAAACAGGTCAGGGTAATTTCTTTAAAAACAATGGGTGCTAATATAAGATTAATTGCGTAAAAATTTAATGTTGTTTATATCAAGCTAGGACTTGTCATTTTTCTTAAGGATGAACATTTAGCCTTGAGAACCATGACATTACTGTGATTTTTTTCCTGATTTTGTGTAATAACATACTTTTTTCTTGCCAAATTTTAGATAGAGATCATGTTCGCTTCTCAAGAGAAGTGTTCACTAGTATCGAAAAAATCAGAATCGAACAAAACCAGCAACGCAGAATGCTTGAAACTCTTCTAGATATGGTACAGGAGCTAGGAGCGTCAAAAGCGAGCAGCTCCAGTACCTTCAGTCTGCCTGAAGGTATTACCCTTCCCCTCCAATCTTTGGTGGATGTTGAAGGTTAGAAAAAGAGTTGAGACAACAGACTGTTCTCAACAACATGGTAAGAAAACCTGTCTCTACAAGTGTATTTTTTGTCTATCAGTATATATACATGTACTGTGCCTTCAATGCCCTTTAAAAGTGCAAATGCTTGTTTTTGGCCAATTCATTATACAATGATAAATTTATCGAATTTTGTTCTTTTTTTGTAAATTTTAAAACATGTAATTTTAGCTGTAAAAGCTGAAGGATACAGTAAAAACCATTAAATACATGTACTATGAAAACAGATAATGAGATTTGTTTTTTAAAAGATTATTTCTTCATATTCATAGTTCTTTTCATTATAGTTCTTTTTAAAAATTGAAATTTTGTTATGTTTAAATACTGTTTTAGTGTTCAGCCTTAATGACACTTAACATTTCAGGTCAACTACCTGTCTTTGATTGGCGGGAAAAACACACCAGATATGGTCAGGCGAATTCTGAGCCATGTAATCAAAAGCCGTTTGGCAGAGAGTTACAACTGGTACGGAAAGAAAGGAAAGCTTAAATTTGGATCGTTGAAAATAGCGGAAGTGATTTGTAGTAAGTCATAAAGTTTTTTTGCATTTTTTTTGCATTAATGTACTGTTTTGGATTGGTTTTCTGATTAATCTTGTTTTAGATTGGCTTTCTGAGTAATTAATCTATCAATTAAAATGAAAAAAAAAGCAGACAAACTTTTATGTTTGTTATTTATTCAGAAATTCAAAATCTATTAAAGTATAAAGCCCATTATTTGTTACTCAAACGTTTTGAAGGTATGTACATTTCAGTTGTCATAACAATGAAGAGCAGGTGAACTTATTCAAATAATTTCCTTAACTTGCAAAAATTTAAACAAGACGTACAGAGAATATCACTGTAAAAAATTCAAATGAACATTGCGTTTTTTATGTAATTTACAGAGGCAGTGCAGAAGACCACACCAGGAACAACCACAGCAGAGGTCGAATTTATAACTAGAGAATGGTTGAGGACAGCCAAAGACCGTGAGGGAGGTCGTAAAAATAGAAAGGCAGCCACAAATACCTCAAGTGAAAATTTAGAAAACTGAGATTTCAAAACTGTCCTCCAAAAAAGATACATAATTATACTTACATGGACTGATAAAACATGAGAACATTCATTAGCATTTAAATACTGTTTTACTAGTTATGCACCATTTATTTTCTCTCTTTTTCTGTAAATCACCAATTTGAAAGCTTTGATAAAGCATGTGGAAAAAATCATTGATTTAAAAATGTTAGTATCATGAAATATTGTGGGTCCCTTGCACTGACAGAAGTAGATGTAAATTTTTATTTCAAAGTATGTTTCCTTGAAATATAGAGGATGTAGAATGAGTAGGTTTTATACTAAATTTATTGAACAAGTTGAATAAAATCATTATGCGAGCATAATATTGTTTTATTCAACGAGTTCAATAAATTAAGTATTGAATCTACAAAAATATAATATTCTATTTATCACATATTCAAAAAAAGAAAAGTTTATTGTAGTGCTGTCATAGATTCAGTGCAAAGCATATTGACGATACATTGATATCGGCTGACTAAATATTGGCATTACACCAATATATCTAAAAATACTCTTATTTTCTTGTATATAATACTTCTATTTCATACCTGTTTAAATGATTTAAGTAAAATAGATAGGTTGTGTACCTTTGCATGATTTTTTCCGGTTATATTTTGTCATAACTGCTATGAAATGTGTCCATTATGGAGCAACAGCTTAGTGTCAGACACGGCCATCTGCTTTTGTGCATCTTTTTAGTGAATTTTCATTTTTTATAGACCTTTAAACAATCAATTTTTTTTCAATTTTGTATTGATTATTGTTCGACAGAAAAATATCAATGATACATCGATATTGTCTCTATCGATGACTGCTCTAGTTTACTGTTGCTTTAACGCCATGTTTATAGATAGTGCAAATGTGTCCCATAAAATTGTTATTACACTAGTGTAATATCGGTTTATTAAATGGCTTTATTACACTCCTGTGCCGCGGTTTATGTAATAAGAGACAAGAGGTTCTGTATTTAAACTTTATTTTTGTACTTGGACACACACACACAAATAGTTATTTTGCAGCAAGTAACTATATAGCTTTTTTGTTCCAGCTTGTTTTTCATTTGAGTCAAATATTTATGCATTTGTTTTCAGAATGTAATAATTATTACCATGTTTTTTATTGCTTAAAATGCCAACCAGTATTAAATTTTACAATGATTAACTTGTTTGACACTCTCTATATATTTTATTTTGTTGATGATTTAATATGTTTTACATCAGTCTTGTGCCAAATTTATTATATGTTATTCTTTGTGCCAATTAAACTCATTATTATTCAATTTGAAAGTCATTGATTTTTACATTCAATGTTTCTCCAGATATAAATTAAATACCAACCATAAATTAATTGTAAGGTTTGAAGATATTTATTTTTCAAGTTTTTAAATTCAGTATTTTACCATCTTGCTTGGAAATTACACTCTTACATAAATAGTCTCATCACAAGTTCATATTGATGTATTTTTATCTTACGGATATAAATATTTGTAAAATCTGCATAATTGAATTATATATTTGCATGACATATCTTTTTTTAATGTTAGCAGTTTGTTGAGGTTGTTTATATTCATTAACAATTTTGTTTTATTTTAGTCATGTTTGTTGTCCAATTCGTTTAAATAAGTCAGTTATCTTTTACTGTTTTTTAGCTAGACTATTCGATAAGAATAAGTAGAGCTATTGTAGTCACCCGAGTGTCGGCGTTCGCGTCGGCGTAGCCACTTATGTTAAAGTTTTTGTAATAGTTCAAATATTTTCAAAGTCCATTGACATATGGCTTTGAAACTTTGCACACTTGTTCACCATCATGACCCCAACCTGTAGACAGGAGGAGGTAACTCTGTCAAGCATTATGACAGAATTATGCCCCTTTTTCAACTTAGAATTTATGTTAAAGTTTTTGTAATACCCATAATTTTTTCAAAATCCATTGACATATGGCTTTCAAACTTTGCACACTTGTTCACCATCATGACCCCCACCTGTAGACTGGAGGAGGTAACTGTATCAAGCATTTTGACAGAATTATGCCCCTTTTTCGACTTAGAATTTATGTTAAAGTTTTTGTAATAGTTCAAATATTATCAAAGTCCATTGACATATGGCTTTGAAACTTTGCACACTTGTTCACCATCATGACACCAACCTGTAGACAGGAGGAGGTAACTGTATCAAGCATTTTGACAGAATTATGCCCCTTTTTCGACTTAGAATTTACTTTAAAGTTTTTTGTAATACCTCAAATATTTTCAAAGTCCATTGACATATGGCTTTGAAACTTTGCATACTTGTTCACCATCATGACACCAACCTGTAAACAGGAGTAGGTAACTCTATCAAGCATTATTTTTTACTATCAAGCACTAGAATAGTCGAGCGTTGCTGTCCTACTGACAGCTCTTGTTTGTGTTCCTTGTTAATTATTTTATGATTTCATAATTTTTCAAATAAACAGTTTTTTTCATTATTTGTAAACATGTATATATATTGTTACTCTAGTCTTAAGGTAATATATGTATAAATTGCTATTTCTCTCCAATTTTCAAAGGAAAAAAAAAAGATTAATTGATAAGATCTTTAAAGCATCTCTAGTGTCTTTTACCTTTATTTTGGGGCATGTTTCTTTTGATTGATGCCAACAAATAGGTATACAAACTTCTTTCATTTTAGGTATTCTGTAACTGTTGTAATCAGAATATAAACAAAGATTCATTGCATTCAAAGTACTTAAAATACATTGCTTTAAACACTTAAAAATAAAATTTTGTCATTTCCATGCCCTTAATTTTCAAATTAAAACTGTTGATATCTCAATAAAACATGCATTTTTCTTATATCAAAGTTGTCTTTCAACCAATGTGCTTTAAATGATAATAATGTGATCAAATTTTGTCATTGTTTAGAATTATTAAAATTGATTATTGAATTTAGTTCATTTGTTGTGATTTTGTTTCTCCTTTAAGGAAGTTAACAACAAGAAATGTTTAAATTGCAGGCTATGCCAAATGCCTGTTGCTTGTCAGAATCAACAGGCTAGCCTAAGGATCATACGTTGGCTGACATCGCACCGCTATTGTTTTGATGTTGGCCCGATGTAGGCAAGAAATATCAGGTTGATGTTGGCCCGATGTAGGCAAGAAATATTGGGCCGATTTTGATTTGATGTTGGCCCGATGTAGGCAACAAATATCTGGCCGATGTTGATTTGATGTTGGCCCGATGTAGGCAAGAAATATCGGGCCGATATTGTTAAGACATCGGCCCGATATTGTACTACCGATGTCGGGCCGACATCATTCCTATTTGCAGCCGAGATTTAATCCGATGTCGGGCCGTTATAGAAAACCATATAGGTTTGATGTCGGGCCGATATAGAATGTTGGCTGGGTGGCTTTAAGAAAAAAATCGTTTTAAGAATATGTTTTCCAATACTAGCATTATGTTATAGGAACAAGAATGTTGAAGATTAAGGTCATGGATTTTAATATTATATCGATTAAAATACCAAATTCATTTAATTCAGCAGAAATGCGCAGACATAGGTTATGGATAAACACACGATCTTTCAAGCTTCGTCATGCAGTGACATAACATATATACATTAACGGCGGAAAAAAACATTTACGGATAGAATCGCGAGAGCACACACCTTTGTTGCACTAACGTTCACGATAAATTAGTCGACCTGGTTCCTATGCTGTAACTGCAAAGAAATGTTTGTTCGACCGGACCATTGCAAGCAATGTAGTTTCAGAACAGATTATTTGCCATATATATGATATTTATTATATGTGTGACATTCACCTTAATATGAGGACACGATCAATGACGTTCCACATACAGTCGTATATGAATTTATATTTCTTCCAAATATTTAAAATTTCTTCCCTTGAACACGAAATTGAAAGCGAGCGGACGGACGAACAGGTGCATCAGTTCTTACATCAGTAAACACTAGTGAGACTATTCCTTCGCAAGTGACAGACTATTAATCTCACATGTTTTATTAACAAGAGGCAACCAGGAAAAGTGAAAAGAATGACCATTAGACTCAATGTTCGAGACCAATTTTCAACGGAAAAAAAACGCGTCGCCAAAGGATCTAATGAAATTCAGGACTCCCTTTTGAACAAAGCGCGCACATTTTTTTCTCATAATATCATACTATGCAGATTCAAACATTATAGAACTGTATCAAACAGAATCACGTAAAAGGACCCCTAAAACTTCAACAAATCATAAACCGTCATCAACGTGTTAGCTTTAATTTCAGTTCTTAATGCTTATGATTTTGGTAGCAAAGGTGCGTGTACCGTAACTTTAACCGTTAAATGTGCTTTGTATATATCGTTTTGCCTATTGTGACAGTCCATTACATTGACTTTTATTTTACGTTTCCGGGTCATTAAATTTGTATGCGTTCATAAAGCTTATCACAAGATTTAAGTCTGTATTGTACTACTTTACATTTGACATAATTATTTATTGATTTGTATAAAAAAAAAAACAAAAAAACAACACACACACACATAATAGTATTGTATATACGAGATAAATAAGGGACATAAAAACACTTTTAATGTTAAATTTAATTAATATTCTCTGATATCGATGATAAATGATTAAATATATATACAACTGGAGTTCAAATTATACAAAATATATTTCAATGCATAATTGTTTGTCCAAGTAGGTTATGAACAATTTGTAGCAAATATTACACAGCCAAACAAATGAACCCAGAAAAATGCATAATATACTGATCAGCAATCAATACGAGACGACCTAAAAATATCCAGTCAAATAATGTACATATCGGAACATGGATAGATAAAAAATACTTACATTTAGTTTCTTCACATTTTTAAAACGTCATAATTGACATATTGCATTGAGCATAACGTAGTAGATTTTCACAATCAAATTTAGTTTTTGTAAACATCAAATTGTCTCTTTATATTTAGCTTCTAGTATATTCAAAATTTAATATTACTTCCTTGTCGGCGACCTGTCTTCGCTAAGCATTGTGGGTTGTTTATTTGTAAACTAATAATCAAGTTACACTTAAATCGAACAACCTTGACTTGATAAAACGTTTTGTAAGCTAAACTAAACTGCACGAGAAGATATATTAAAGTTTGTTATTGAAACTTATACAAGGAGAAGACGTAACATGTATAAATAAGTCTAAGATCGAATAACATTTTTGTTAAAACTAAAAATAAATATTATAATGAAATAAAACTTCATAAATATTATGCATATATTTTCATTTTGATTACTATGCGACATAATGATAATTATTTGTTATATGCAATACGGTGTCGTATAGGTCCACTTGGTTGGGTGTGTTTGTTTTGTGTGTAATTCAAATATAACTATAATTGTATGTATGATCACATATGTCACAATGGAAAAAGTTGAAAACAAATTTCTTAACTTACCTTATATAAATCAAAATCTAATACTTACTCGAATGATCGATAACGCATTTTATAACTTGTTTATTAATTTCATCCAGATTAATACCTTAACATTCATGCCCACTTACTGCCCACTCAGGTATACATTTATGGAGAAGAAACATGAATATTCGGAAAAAATCACGCGAAAAATCACGTGATGTTGCACGCAATTCGGGGCAACAAATTACAGTTGCTGACTGCAATGACGGTGCCGGTAATTTTATTCTGATGGAAACATAACCGTCAATTATTTCGCGCTCGCAAATAACAAAAAGTAAAAAAAAAATAACGAAACGCGGAAAAATGTAACTTTTAAGTTCAATTGTATGCAGGAATAGTGCTAAAGCACCCTTAATTTATTTCAGATTAGTAGTTATGCTATATTCTTATTCTATGGTCTCCAAGATCTTCCACATTTATTTTATTCTAATACAATTAAGGTCAACTTGTTTGTACCTTTTTCAATTTATGTTTGAGATTTAATACAGATCATGATTCATAAGCAATCTGTGCTCGCACAAATCATTTATGATAACAGGCAAAAATAAATGATAAAAGCAAGTTTGGAGCCTATACCTATCTCAATTTATTTTAAGTGTAAACAGTCTGTTACTTTGAAAGCTTTATATGTACTCCCCGTGGTTTACAAGATGGCGCATGTACAAAATCATTGCTGGACAGATAAAACCGTCTTCATATAGCAGTACAAGTGTGTTAAGTGTGATTAATAACAGTGTTTTATCTGATTTGTCAGTTGATTATCGTCTTGTTTATATGCCGAGCACGAGAAACAGAAGATTCCTCATATTTATTTATAGTACGGAAAAGTCCATTGTAATACTATATTGGTAAATGAAATGTTGCACATCTTAATGATTGCACGTTTGACTGATAATTGTAAAAGGAAAAAATAAATGTCGCAATAGCTCCGTCTGTAGAGCACTAAGCTCAGAAGGAACCTACTACATGGGTGAAGGGTAGCCAGTCTTCAAAAAGGATGTTCTTTTGTTGTTGTTGTTTTATTACTTTTTTTTATTTAATTTCCCCCTTCATGTACACACCTACATAATGTTCACACGTTTTGTTGTTGTTTTTTATTGGTTTATTTATGTTACTTTTTAATCAAAGTATCCTCATCTCATCTATTCAAATTTATCTTTTTTTATTTATCATCAAAAATTTATGAATGTTATAACAAATTTTAAAAGAGATGTTCATTCCGGTAAAAAACGAAAATACATTGCATCTTTGTAATGTTTAATGATTTTTTTAAAATAAATGGTTTAGGAAGAGGCTCGCCTGATTAAAAATTATTGCTTTCTTGTGAGCTTTTTGGATATAAATGAAAACTATGTAAATAAAGTATTCGTTCCAGGTCCGATGATGGTTTTTAAAATGTGTTTGTTGTCATAAAAGATACATATGGTTAAGATGTTAGAATCTCAACAATAGTAAATAAAAAAAATTTTGAAGATAATTTTGATATTATCGACAGTTCTTCTTCGTCCTGAGATAATTGTTTGGTTAACACTATCACCTTACGTTTTCCTTATAAAAGTTCAACAAAACCCTATATATCCTTTAATCCAGAAAGAATTGTTAAAGGATTACAGCAAACCTGTAAATTATTCGACAAACGAACTAAGAATGAGGTTTAAAGGAATAACCAAGCGGTACCAATAAACATCGCTATTTTCTTTAACAGAATGATGTAAGAAGACTTCATGATGGTGCACGTGACACGGAGGAGTACAGTGTAATTGGCATGAAACAATTGTCCGTACTTACCATTGACATACACGGAAATTGTCTTAACTATTCACTTATGAATACACCTCCATATAAAATGAGCACTCAACATGAGTTTCATCTTTTGAATTAGTCGTACCCTTCACATTGCATCGATATACTTTATAATTATGTAAAAAAAAAGCCAAGATGTTAGAGTAAGTTATGGATTTATGTATTATTTTGAAGGCGCTAAAATTTATAACCTAGCAAATTGTTTTCGAATATGAATTAAAAGGAAAACAACCCATAAACATATCTAATAGTATAGGTAGCAGATCGATGAGCTTTTTATTGAACATTTTCCCGTCACCATACCAGCAAATATATCTGTGTCAACCTTTTTTTATATCGGACCAATATCTATTCAATATTGACATTAGTCCAACATCGGTCCAATTTATCTATTTTTGACTGAATTGTAATAAAACATGGTAATGTCTTTAACTATATTAGATAAAAATATCAGAGAATTTTTCCGAATGTAAACGCGTTAAATCATTGGACGGATGGTTATCGTAGATTGTACAAAAACGCTCGATACAGCCGGGCTATATTGGGGCAAAATTTAACACCGAAAAGTTTTAATATTGGTTAATTTCTTTAACCCTTTACTGCATAGGGATTCTGTGAAAAAATAGATGTTTTCATGTAACAGCCTCCTGTTACAAGTTCAAACTGCATTAAAACTAAAAATATATATATATATATATATAATAAAATAAAAAAATTGCCGAAATACTGATCAAACTTGGCACAAATGTTGACTTGACCATAGCCTTTTTAATGGCATGCTCAATCTTAAATTTGCTGCTACAATGGTAATGGGGGTTATATCAAAAACGTTGGTTACACGTTTGGTTCAGAACAACCTGAGGCCAATTTTAGCCTCACACAAGTCCAAACTGTCATTTGCGATGAGGGGCAGAAGTCTCCCTTTACTACCACCACAGCAAAAGGGGGCGCACCATGCTCAGGCACACCCTTGATGTATCATTTTGGTGGAGCGAAAAAGTGATCAAACACTTTTAAACAACATTTCCCAAACGGAAACAAGTGATTGAGTCAAATATAAGGCAGTTTTGCACCATTTGAGGCCTCAAAAAGGGGTGGTTAGGGTGAAAAGACGTCATTATTGTTTTTTTTTTATTATTTTTGCAGAATCATTCTTCAGGTTCTGATCCGCCTTCATACCTTTAAACTTCTTGCCAATGGATCATTTTTATGTTAACATCCCCTTTCGGTTTCTTTAACAGTTTGTTTACTTAGGTATATGGCAACAAAATTATATATGAATATCGTTAAACATTTGAAAGAGTTTTAATAATAAATGTAACACAAACTTTATAAAACAATAAAAATAACTATTTAAACATAATCAACATTATAACAGAGATACATTCTTCTCAAATACTCGTAATCAGACAAATTTATACTTGTATAAAATCCTTTTTTTTCGTATGTCATCTTTTACGACCTTCTGCTGATACAGAATGACAAAGAATTATCTTGTTTGTCTGTCTGAAAGAAATTCAATTAATTACCAGGTTCTTTCAAACACAAAGTAATATTTTTTTCAATGGTTTATTATCGATGACTTCTATCAGACCTTTTCTCACATTTGATTGGTACAAAAGTTATTGACCCGACATTTAGGAAGTTTTTAAAATAAGTCAATCGGGTTTGATACGATGCAATGCTACGTTGGGGCTAATCATTTTATCAGTATTTTTTTTATCAAAAGACTTACATCTTTTGAAATAGCATACGGCTGTAAATAGAAAATAAGTGTTGGGTAAATAATATAAAGCATATGTCAAATATGGCCTTTATCAAACAAGGAACTGTACGGTTTATAGCATCAGGGTATGAGGATTACTCAAAAAGTCGTCAGAGAATATATTCTTAAACTATTTCTTCATATATATATGTAGATGTATGGTCATGTTAGACTCAACCTGATGCTACATTTTAGCTTCATTTTTGCATATTAATTTAAACATATAATTAAGTTAATGGTTATGAACATTGCTAAAAGACATTCGATTGCAATGTAGGTTTAATGTATATTCTAAGAACGTTTGGTTGATTTGTTAATTATTATTAACGTATAATTATACAATTTTATGGCAAAAAAATGAAAGAAGTGATATTTTAACGTTGGTTCTGTATAACCGGTTAAGTTCTGTGCTGCCGGTTAAATATAAACAAAATATTTATTTATCTAGTTTTCAAAATACACACACAATATTGTTCCTTTGAAACTAAACAAAACACGAAAAAAAGAAAAACTATTATTTCACAGTCATAGGCTTTATAAGCTGTAGCATCAAACCACATTTCATAGGCACCATAAAATAAATTGATAACCATATTGGATGATATATAATGGTTGCATTTGATAACTGACTAAAACTGTTAAATTAGTCACATTATTTATGCCTGTGAAAATATAACAGTGTAGGAATACATTGCGTGCCGTTATTATACCATACCGTTTAACGACGGCTAATAATGCATGATATGATGATAATAATAATAATAATAAACAAAAACAAAAGACAGCATGGGTTTGTGGCGAAAGTTACGACAAAGTTTTCAAAAAAAAAAAAAAACACACACACACATTTTGAACAGCCCATTATTTTTATACCTATTTCCGCGTTTAAAAAACAAATCTAGTGGCTACCTATATTTCTGCAGGTATAAAAATACGAAATCGGCTTTCTTTGACATTGCTGTAGCAACTCTTTCCATGTCTATATATTAACAATTTAAA